TGAAATTCTTAACCTTTTTGTTTTAACCCGATCCATTCGTGCAAACGTTATAGATTAATGCTTAATAGAAAAATCTCGGAATCTGAGACCGCGCGACGCTCGGTATTGGGAGAGGACGAGCCATCTCCATGACTGTAACAATGGTGACAAGGTCTCACTCGCCACAAATCACAACACTGGATTCTCCTTCTGTTGCTTAACAAACCGTTTGAATATAATGAGCTAAATGTGCAGCATTAGAGATTTATTTAATTTTTGCTCCATTGGTTCTGAACGCCGGAGCGCCCGAAAATCAACACATCCTTGTGTACGTAAGGTAATTTTATTCCCCCTATGCCCCGCAGTCTGTTTGTCCGCAGGCACAAGAATGTAGGTAGATTTCGGGACATCAGTAGCAACAGGTAGGAGCACGCTGCTGAAAGAGAAACAGTGGAAGGCCGCGCCACGGAAGATTAGCGCTTAATTCGCCGTATCGGGAAAATGTGCTGCGCCCAGACGGTTCTCTGCGAGTGAATGAAACGATAAATAAACACGTGGAAGTGTTATGGGGTAGCGTAGGCGTTTTATTGACTCCCGTACAGATACAGAGCGACAGGTTTTATTTCACTTAGTTATTCATGAATGTTTATTCTCTTCGATTATCTCAACGCTTGGGATGCAGAAAAAAGTGCAAAGAGTAATCATCTGCGTAATTGCATAAGGGAAGCGGGAGCATGGAAAAGGCCATTGTACCATCACAAGCTCAATGCTGAATGTATCGTCAATCTTATTCTGAAATAGGTGTCAGAACCAGGGCTGTAGTGCGCAATAAGCTCGGAACGCACAACTCTAGTATTACCCCAGCTTGCCACATTGGCGCTCTGTTAACAGGCTTTAGATGAAAGCTAGTATCAGAAGGGAAAGGAGACAAAGCAGTCAATAGACTGAACCACAAATTCGAAGCCCAGTCGCAAATGAACTCATGCTTTCGTTCTTGCATATAAATGCAATACATGTGATCTAATGATCTAAACATGCATGTGGCCTCTAAATGTACACCTAGAATATATTGGTAAATTGTTGTCACTGGAAAAAGACCAAAGGAAAACATGGTGCCTTTTTGCCTTCAGTTCGATTTAATGTTCTTGACCTAAAGTAAAACAAGTCAGTAATGAATTATTTGGAAGAATCCTTAAAGACCAAGTGTCTTTTAAGCTTTCTTTAGTGTCAGATGTGCACTTGTTAAATTATTACGAAGTATTCCGTTATACACTCATATCATAGCGATAGTCTTACAGGGTCTTCAGTAATATATTAAATAAAAATCCAAGTAATTATCTACTAGGACATGGGAGCCGAACGTGTCGAACGGGGAGCATCCTCCCGTAGCAGCCGTGATCGTATAGTGGTTAGTACTTCTCGTTGTGGCCGAGACAACCCAGGTTCGAATCCTGGTCACGGCAGAGCTGTGGAACTATCTCTGTCACGGCAAACGGAGGGTAATTTTTCCCAATTTTGAAAGTTTCAAGGTTCATTTTTGTGAAGATATTTTTAGGGTTATCTGTTTTATTGTCACTAACATATTGTTACAGGGATAGAGAACAACAGGAACAAAAAAAAAAAAAAAAACATACGTAGCACGCAGACTTCAGCCAAGAATTATGATTGCTAATAATTTACCATTTATAAATAAATGGGTAATCATTAAAATCTAATCTCATGAAAACCAGTCGACTTCTGACCTATCCTGAAAATATCACTTAACAGCGCATTCAGAACAGATGATTCGGGGACTAAATATGGCCGATTCCACTTAAAAATAAGCCGCCTAATCCATATTTAATCCGATTTCTAACAGCCCGCGGATTAACTTGCTCTGAGTGCGCTCTTAATCCAATCGCCAGCATCCTCCTGTAGCAGCCGTGATCGTATAGTGGTTAGTACTTCTCGTTGTGGCCGAGACAACCCAGGTTCGAATCCTGGTCACGGCAGAGCTGTGGAAATATCTCTGTCACGGCAAACGGAGGGTACCTTTTTTTTATTTATATCTCGATTTTTTTTACTATTATAAAGGAAAAAATCTGACATGTTCTGCAAAATTAAAAAAAAAAATGAAACACCAATTGCTCAACCACTAATTGATAAATCAATTTAACATCGTGAGGGTGACAAGATTTGTAAAAAGCAGTAAAATATCAAGTGTATAGTTTCGCTCATTTTTTCTTCGTATTCCCACCAGCGTCTTTCATATTCGCCGAAATCAGATCACGTCAGATTACAACCGGCTTAGGGGATCAATCTAAGGTCATGGTTTTAATCTCTAGTTTTCACAAACAACTAAACCTACGACTCGAATCCAAATAATCCTAATCGATGTTTTTGTATTATATAATGGTATTTACGATAATTGGCATAAACCGTGTGAATTCTGTCACCTTTACACAATGGCGGATACATAGAAGGTCGTCTTTGTGTTCTCGATGGTGGTCGGTGTAAAAGAATACTTCGCGACGGCTGTGCTCTTTGATAGCAATTCTATTCATTTTTAATCAAAGTTGACCTCAAGTTCCCAGCAACGCGTTCTGTCGACACATTAAAATTCAACTCTTGGCATTAAAATGTAAAAAAAAAAAAAAAAAAAAGACTTCAAATACTGCCTGTTTTCGTTACCATATCTTATTATTTTTTAACCACAAGATAATTCGGGAATGATATTTTTCGTGGAACATTCACCTGATACGCGAGACTTCTCCAAGGTGACCTCTGCAGCGTCTCCTGACCGGCCCACCCTCTGAGAGACGGGTCGTTCACACACAGGTGAACAGGTACAGCTCACCTTTCAACCCATTCGTCCGTTTATACGAGTCCCGACTTGGATTGAAAATCTGCCCAACTGGTGCTATCAGACGACCTATATAAGGAATTTAGGCCCTGAGGCCCAAAGATGGCTGTGTTCCCGCCCTCCGCCCTGAGATCTACATCTCCTCAGAAAGTCATCTACCTGGTCGAACGTTTTGGTCGTCTGCTAACCGAGTTGGGACGACTGCTGGATCCTCGAGGCTCTAGTATAAACAGTCATGCTCAGAGATGAACACTAGTAACAAGAACGTTAATTTTTCCTTTTCTTTTTTAATCTCTCTTCGCCTTTCTTTTGTTACAGTCGGATTTGACAGCGGATTCGAAATGAATCCGGATTAATTTTCATTGTTTTTCTTTATATTTCTCAAAAGAAAATTATTTATAGTACGATATCACCGAATGGAAGTCATTGCGTTTCTTGGGCTTCAATTAACTGCTCGCTGCTTGAATTGGCTTTGTACATTTCGCCATAGTACGGATATCCTTAGTGAAGTAATTGCCAAGTCGATCGTACAGGTTTTACTTTTCTGTCTGACATAATAACGTCCTCTTTGCACATTTTGGTGAGGCAAATGATGTAATACCATCTCAAGTGTTCTGACATTATTTAACTGATCGTCTGCTGCGTTTCCGCTTGCGGCCCCGTACGCACGTGCAGTTGCAGATTTTAAAACTTTCCAAAATTCACTAGAGGTTCACTGTACATTGGAAAATAACAGACAAAATTTATTTGTATTTTCATATATTCTTCAACATTTTTGGTAATTATATAGCAGAACAAAGTGTTTGGTATAACAGGAACGTGCCGATTGTAAAGACTGCCGGACACGAAAAAAGGCCCCTTCGGCGTACGATTTGAGCATCGATTGTGAAATGTCAATATGACTATAATAATTTCTATGCATAAATCATGTCATCTGTAAATGTACAATAAACACACTATACATTGGTTTTACAATAAGATGCAATATTCAAATATCTTATGACTACCGTACAGGAATTTATAATAATTTTCATCATAATTTACACCTGGACTAATTTTCTTTTCCATAAATACATATATTGTCACATAATTTGCGCAAAATCTGATTAGAAGTAACTTCACATCATTAAGAAAAATAACTGCAACATTCTCTACAAAAATACAACTTCTCCGCTACTGATCAATGTATATGAATTTAAATATCTATGTTAATTGCGTAAATAACGGTCGAACAGTTCGGTATGATATCAAACCCTACTGTGTTTCTTAAACTAAGCTTTACCCTAAGCCTCTTAGACCTGTGTGTGTGTATGTGTGTGAGAGAGAGAGAAAACGCCACATTCCACCCAATACAAGCATGCGGCAGACCCCGATCTTCGTACATGTGCGATCTAGGAGCACGCGGTCCTCTCCGGGAGTTGTCTGAACGCGGCCAGGTTTGATGCGTCTCTCGGGGTGACAGGGGTCTCGCCAGGACATCCCCGCATCTCACCCAAAAATAATTGCAACCCTGGCCTTAGCTCCAGCTCCGAGACTGAAAATTTCGGTTATCAAGTTCAACAACTGGGTCGTCTAGCATAATTTCCAGGCCGAATGCAAAGATTAGAATTTACAGATGATGTCGTCTGCAAGCGAGGTGTCACGTGACACGAAAGACGGAAGCGGCCACTAGTGGGGGTGGAAGTTTTGTGTGCAAAACGTTTGAAAAATTGGCCATTTTTATGCTTTGAAATGTGTCAAATGCTATTTGAGGCCTCGACTCAACATCAGAGAAGACGAGGGCACCTTCCGCAATTTTGGAAAAAAAAAGGAAAAAAGAGAGACAGACGGCAGACAGTAAATGAAACCATTTCTTTAAATCGTAGAACGCAGAGATTTATCAAAGTACCAGCATAAAATGTCTGAAATGTTACACTTCAGAATATGTACGTGTCTATATACACATGTAAATTTTTATGTCCTAGGAAGTGTTTATTTTCTCATGTAACACCCTGCGTCTCCGGAAAACTTCCATCACATGGGCCCGCATTTAGGGGCCGTAGCAATAGTCCGAAGGTTCATTGGTCCGAATATTCACTATAGAACCTTCTGACCAATGAACCCTTGATTAAAAAATCGATGAAAATGTTACCACTTTTCGGACCAATGAACCTTCGGACTATCGAGACGCCCCCCGCATTTATCTTGGAAAGCGTATGTTGCGTTAAGGAAGATTGTCGGTGCTATGAAACTCAGGGCAATTCCTTATAAAAATATGAAAAAAAATAAATGAGAGCGCCTCAACACTTGGTGAATGTGACATGACTTCCATCTGCAAGAAATCAAAGTGTGACCGTCTTTGGCTGTGGGCAATGGCTTGCTTTCTTGCCAAACTTTCATCTGTCAAGGAATAAGAAAATGTAAGAATAGATTGAATACATGGTTAGAAATCATATTAACCACCTGAATAAGTGCTTAACCTTACCCACCGTCTTCCCAGCAGAGGAAACGTCTGTCTGTCTGTCTGCCTGTCCCCTGGTCACTACTCTGACCCAAACTAAGCAGTGCAAAGAACCCTGTGACCAGAATGACCATACAAACCATCAACATGTACCCAAGCCAAGCTAAGGGTAGACTAATACATAAATATAAGGGACTAGCCATGTAAACAAAAGAGGTGCATCATATCAATTTTTAGATAAGTAATTTTTCTGTTTTGATGAATCAACATTAACAAAATCATGACTGTTACCAGTACACATTACTCCCCATGGTCAAGACGCCTGGTGAAGCCTCAGTGACATCACCAGACAAATCTTTCAGAACTCTACAGATTATGATATACCACCAAGAGCCTGCAAGATTTTCTTTCCTGCAGCAATTTCTAAATTTTTGTAGATTTAATTTTGAGCAAGTCCACAGGACATGATGCACACCCTGTACCAAATGTCAGAGTTTTCTTCTATCACTACAAACAAATATTGTTAACAAATCTTCTATGCCTGTACTTTATGGATGGGCAAAGGTTCATCGTAGATTCCTTTAACCCGTTTATTTTGGGGGTCAAAGGGCGACTTCAAATGCAGCTTGGCAGGATATGTGGCCCCCATGTGTTCTAGTGTGTAGACCCCACTCTTCATGAAGTCAGCGGTGACGGCACTGCCGTCAGGACATCTCACGTAACCGTACCCAATGCTCTTGCCCAGGGCGAAGGCATATTCTGCTCGGCGTAGAAATCCGACTGCTTCCCCATCACGCCATATGGCCTCCAAACCATGAAGTGGAACATGGCTGAAATGGAACAATTTTAAAACAAAATATCTTGGTAATACACTGATGAAAAGTTCTGGGATATTCAGACAGAAAAAACAAGTTTGGATGGACCACGTGCTTGAATTAAAAATCATCTGAGGTAGCCTTAAGTCTCACAACTTACCAAAAAAACACGCTAAATTTCACAAATCTGGAGGAGAGTGGGGCCAGAATTTGAAATAACGGCAGACTACCTAACGGTGTGCCAAATGAATAGAACCAACAGAATTCAACCATGGATATTTTTCTTGTTTTCTGTCCAATCACAGTCTACTGCACCACAGTACAAATACACCATAATTTGAATGACACTCCATTGCCTCCATTTTCAATATGGGACCACATGCACAATTGCAATCCAGCCACAAATCAACCATTTTCACGTCTATCTTTACAGCTCATCACCATCGTATTATCAGACATTTGTATATATATATATATATATATATATATAAATGAAGAGGTTGTATCATATGTATATGTAATTATAAGGCAGGCTTGTTTTTTGCTCAATTCCAGAACCCACACACACTCATAAAAGGGGAGGAGGGACATTCAGGCATTCTTACCCTATTTTGGAGATAAGAAAACATTTAGCAGTCAGTTTTATCAATTTGCTGTGTGAACCCACAAAAACCCTGCCTCCTCCACCATAATTTGAAAAAAAAATCTGGTTACCTCTCTCTCTACACATACACACAGACATGCACACACGCAGAGGTATTCAAATTCATATTCCTCCTACAATCCCCATTCAATCACTATCCATATATTTAAGTGAGAAGAGTTGCTTTTAACAAGTTTATATTATATAACAGCTCAAATCAAATGAACAAAGGAGACCAGTACATTGCTGAATACCTCTGCTGCCAAGTGAACACTAGTGAACTTCTGGTTCACTCCCCCGGGCAAACAGAACCCAAACCCCACAATAGCACTTCAGAGAGATCTCACCTGGAAGGATATTTGACTAAAGTACTAGTGCACTTCTCATAAACATGTGGCCCAGAAATAAACCTATCTAATCATATTGGTGGTGCACAATGCTGAGGTGCAACTCTAGCAGGTCTGCGTGAACTCACGGACTCCAGTTTCAAGTTGTCAAACTTTCACGAAATGTTCCAAACTTATTTGTTGCTATGAGTGCATACGCACTCTGAAGAGTGTTAAGTTTGACCCCACACGCTGGGGGGTTCAAACACATGGAAATTTTGGTTTAATTCACAAAGAACCGAGTTCAAAGTCTTCACCTGGTGTACTGTCTGCAGATCAAACCATATTATCTGCAAACACTTAAGCAATCAACTCTAACTGATTGTAATCAACGTTCACAATCAAACTTAACACATGCTGTAAACCAAGGTGAGAGCAATCAACAAGGGTAACGCGCGATCTTAAGTACTTTCTTGCTTAAACTGAGCTTATATGATCATTTCTCATGAAAATGTTCTCAGACGGAGATAGTATTGCAATGCCTCCATTCCCACTCCACTTATAATGCATATCACTTCATGTTGAAACTAACCTCAATGTTATAAATATACCAAGCTGTATAAAAAAAGAACTGTACTAAGTCCTCTTAATTCACTTGTTACACTTCTGCAGTTGAGACACACACAAGTAGACTTCCACTTATTAAAAGGTTTCAAAGCAATAAATTTACATAACAGACATTATTTTTGAAAAAAAAAATAATGGCTCAAAAAAAAAAAAAGTGCTAGTATTTTTGTTGCCTTTTCACCAAACGTTATTCTAAACTTTGGTAATGTCACTTGACACAGACCCACTATCTTAATCAGAAAAATCTCAATCCTCCCCCAATGGTGTCCTGTTCCTGGCACACCTCACCTAAACATCCCCCATAAAATCCTAATTCCCTCAACCTCACCAGGTCAATCTCCTCAATTCCAAGTACTGTGGTACTGGCCTCCTGCATATTATCCTCCATATTTGCCTGAGAGATGTTTCAAACTCCTCAGGAAGTGCACCCGGCTCTCGAGCCATGACCTTACCACACGGCTACACATACTTCACCAGTCTTTAGCTTTGTCCTAAATTTTGGTAACATTTATCTCCTCCTGGGGCTGTATGCCAACAGTACATAAACTGGGGACTCTTGGCTTTGTGCGCTAAATAAACTAAGACGTGGGAAAAAAAAAGAGGGCCCTGACTGTATTTTATTCAAGTTGGTGGTGGAATTTCATACTAATGTCAAATTTGACAAACTTGAGTGTACATGTACATAAAATGACTGAAAATAAAGTGAGAACTGTATAGTTGAGCACATACACCCATCAAACAACCCCCCCACCCCCCACCAAAAAAATGAATGAAAGAAAAAAAACATACACATGGAGGTCTCTTTTTCATTAAAAAAAAAAAACACTGGAGCCCACACCAATTTTTCCTCATTAATTCAAGTAAAGAGAAGACTACCAAATTGTCCGTTCAGATGTCCACACAGAAAAAAATTTAATGATAAAATAAGAAGCTTTTAATCTATCAGATATGTTAAAAAGTGGTCAGTGTGGATAAGACTCCAATGGCCAAATGAGGGGGTGACCATGACTAGCGGTCACAAGACAGGACAATGATACCTGGAGGAGTGAGTAAACTCCATGTGATACTTAAATTCTAACCACATCCATCCAGGCAGTCAAATAGTATAAAAGGGTCCCTGTATAAAAAACGGACACATTAGTCTCGTTATAATAAATTCTTGGATAGTTACTCATGCAGAACAGAGCCAGCTTTATCCCAGAGAGCTAATAGAGAGAGGTCTGGCTGCTTTTTTAGATAATATTTTCCTTGGGTTGCCACATTGCTGAACGCACACCACAAATATTTCCGTAGATAATCCAATTTATTAACGGGCATATCTGGTGAAGTATCCCCTCTGAATGAAAACAAACTTAGTGCTTTGGCTGGAATACTAGTCATGCATGATTTTCTAAGTACTTTGAACCTTTTTTTTTTATCAAGGTTTACTTCATCAGTATATACATACTTTAAACAACTTCTCACTTCATTTGACTTTAATCAATTTTATGGTTACCAATACTTACACTGTTGTAATTTTTACATCACAAAAGTTCATTTTGCACAATGTCAGTGAACTTTTGTCAAAAATGGATATTATATGCATTTATGATGTAAGCTCTTAGAAAAAAGAGTAATTTAAAATAATAAAAATGCTATTTGATGTCTCTGATTTGTGACCATTTATTTGTCTTATACCCCCGGGGCAGGTATCACTTCATAGTTTTTTCTGGGGTATTAAATGGCTGAAGCTGGTAGTTATTGGAGGGGGGAGGGCGCTAAAATTTAGTTAAGTTTAGTCACTACTGTAAAACTAGACACTTCTTTCTATGTACAATTCTCGCTGATGACAGTCCACTTTCTATACAAAAATTTCAAATTAATTTATTATTATTTTTAGGGGGAAGGGGAGTAGAAGGCAACAGATTTGGATTTGCAGGTAAAGCGCAAGAATTTGTTAAGGCTTAACAGGACTGATGTATTAGATAGATATGTTAGATCATTATTTACAGGTTGACGGCAGAGGTTGAGAAAGCTGTAAACAAGAGAACGAAGGACTGAGCAGAGATAGAGACCAGTATACCAGAGACTCAGATAGAATATTGTAACCAAAATACAGAAATAAACCATTTTGTTAAACCCACCAAGATAAGCATTTTACAGTCTATTAGATACCACATAGGCTATCAACTGTATTCAGTATTCAATCTGAATGTCTTACTAACACAGACAAAAGCTAAACCTGTTTCATTATATTGGGATTTTTTGACACCGAAACAATCAAATTTGGAGCCATTTGAAGTAAGGCCCTTGTCTTCCCTTATTAAGTTTAGAAAGGGATATCAAATGCAAGAAAACAGCAAATAAAACAATGATATAAGTGAGTAAATGATCATGACACTTCACCAATATAAGGATAGTTTCGTAGTCCAGAGATTCATGTAATTAATATTATGTCTGAAACAGAATTCCTGAATCATGTTATTTCCATTAAGTGAATAAAAACTTGAAAAGCCCCTGAACATCATCAAAACCACCATCTGATGCAGTCTGCATTATTTGAAATTGTACTTTGCCTGTAGGGGTTTGTAAGTGTGGAAATTTCGTCATGTGTACATCAGTCTAATGTCCTTCACCTCCTGATCCTTTAAGTTCAGCTGATTGAACTTTCATATCACCCATCCCACCAATACACAGAAAACACTACCCAAAACTAGGCAAGTACTATGGAATATTCAAAATAAATGTGGCCTTTTAAGCACACAAAATCTACTTAGTAAACAACTGAATGTTGGTGCTTACTGGATGCAAAATGATACTAAAAGGTTGAGTTATCGTGGGATTGTTTGTTTTCGCTGGTTAACCATATTTACCCAACAGCCCCACTCTCCGAGCCCGGGCGGATTATCTTAATTTCTCTTGGCTCAGATTTCCCTGAGAAAACTTGCAAATCAGGTAGTGAAAATAACGGTACAAGTGTGATAGAAATACATTCCATTATCCATTTCAAAAGAATTAAATATTCTGAATTAATTAACTGATCTTAATAATAACTGAAGTATAATTATTAAGTCTTGGGAATGGTGAGACTGATACAGATGAGGTAAAATATCTCACATGTTTTCATTTGCACAATAAACGGGCACATGCATTGCTGCAATTCAGTGCCAAAACATACAGTTTTAATCAGACTCCTTCATGCTAACTTCTCATCTACGTCACCATACTAAAATTCAGCACTTTGCAATAAGATTTTCTAAAAATAAAATGACCAATGCAGGACTCTGTATAATTTTAAATATTCTGTGAAAAGATAAACTTCAAAATATGCAAAAAAATACCTCACAATTAACCTTACACAGAGAAATTATGAGAAATTTTGACCAAACTCACTCATCAATACTGAAGCATGCAATCCTCTTCTTTATTCCTTCTTTCTTCTGTCGTTCCAGAGCCTCTCTCCCAAGGAAAGGCGTGTCTGTCTTCAGCTTGCAGGTGAAACCAAGGAGAGACTCGAGGGGGGTGTCATCAATGCGGAGATCGGCATGCCAGTGACGGTAGCCTGGAAAAGACAGAGGTGTTGTCAGTTTATCTGTCACAGGAGTTATTTCCCATGAATGAAGGACAATCCTGGGACATATGCAGTGGGTAGCAATTTACCTGTTATAAGGAAGTTATTTCATAAAGACAGAGGGTAATTATGAAAACTGCAAATTATGCCATAAGAATATTTTTACCAATCTCAGGAATGACAACTTGAAAGTCATGATCCATAACCTGGGCCCCATCTCTTTTCCACAAAAAATTGGATTTCTTTGACTGTTGTGTAATAAGTCATAAAGCAAGAATTTGGTCAATATAAATCAAATGCTCTATTATATTGGAGAAATTGTTCTCAAATCTTGATTCTGAATACACCACATACACAAATGGATCTTGGTAACCACCAAAATAAAAAATAAATCAGCTTTGAAGTTGATCTACAATAAATTGAAGGCTTTTGGGTTGCAAGAAGAAAAAACAAAATGGAATGCCTGAATGCTTAATTTACTCTGCACATATACAGTCACACCCCTTTCTGTACTTGAAAGCTTTGAACATCTTGCAAGCATACTTCCACACTTCCACACAGTGAAGAAAAGTAACCAGCGTCATGGCTTCTGTCCTCGTGCGTCCTGTCACTTCCAGCGCCCGCCCTTTGATCATTTCTCCAAGGTGGCACACACATATCAAAATAAAAATAAGACCTGTGGAATTCTTCAATAAAAGTGTGTGTGACATGTGGTGTTGCTACTATAATTAGAATAACATTGAGGTTTTTTATTTCCTCCTACATGGAACTGTTTCAGAAGATTGGTTTTTTGGTCTTCATCTACTGCGGCTGTGGACTTGCAGTAAAAAAAAATGCTTCTTGTTATAAAAATACAATTAAAAAACATTACCATGAGTTCAATTAAAATTGACTCCCTCCCTTGCAATCATACAAATAGGCTATTAATCTTCTGCTGTACCATGTTTCATTGTCTTTCCGGGAGAATATTTATTAAAACAGTGGCAGATTTAGAGGGGGGGGGGGGTTTCTGAAAAATATACTACACCAATATTCCCCTCTAGAAATTAGAATTTTGACAAGCTGAATCATAGTTCTAAACCATACCAAAAGGGCACCGTTTGCCCTCCAAAACAAAAATATTTGGGGACCCTAGAGCAGGCCTTAGGCTTCGTTCACATGCAATGTCTATTTTCTAAATTCTATTTTCTATTTGCGGCATGTCTTATGATCACGGTCTGTGCACTGAATATCCCGCCGCGTAATTACTGGCAGCGCGAGCCAGTTACTATAAGTTACTATAAGTAACTGGCTCGCGCTGCGGGTAATTACGCGGCGGGATATTCAGTGCACAGACCGTGATCATAAGATAGCGCGAATAGAAAATAGAAAATAGAAAATAGACATTGCATGTGAACGAAGCCTTAAACCCCACACCAAGGGAGGCGATGGTTGGCTTAGCATCCGAGGCCTGTCGTTCTGGACCCCCCTTCAAATAATCCTTGATCTGCACCTGTGTAAACCTCTGTTATCCTCCAAAACTGTGTGATATATATCAATTTTCTCTCAACAGTGTTTGATAATTTCATAATGATGTGATCAACAACTACAGTAATAATGTGAAGTTTCATTTCATCGTATAGGCAAGCTAGACAAAATGGCAGGATCAGATTAGATGAGTGTACTGCATTTCATACCATTGCAGAAATGGTGTCTTCCAATTTCTCTTCCTCAGGAAAGTTTAAAGCCTAGGTTTTTTTCATTGTTAAGCTTAATTTTTAAAATCTTCTTTCAAAGCAAAAAGAACAGTGTGNAGAGTGAGTAAACTCCATGTGATACTTAAATTCTAACCACATCCATCCAGGCAGTCAAATAGTATAAAAGGGTCCCTGTATAAAAAACGGACACATTAGTCTCGTTATAATAAATTCTTGGATAGTTACTCATGCAGAACAGAGCCAGCTTTATCCCAGAGAGCTAATAGAGAGAGGTCTGGCTGCTTTTTTAGATAATATTTTCCTTGGGTTGCCACATTGCTGAACGCACACCACAAATATTTCCGTAGATAATCCAATTTATTAACTGGCATATCTGGTGAAGTATCCCCTCAGAATGATAACAAACTTAGTGCTTTGGCTGTAATACTAGTCATGCATGATTTTCTAAGTACTTTGAACCTTTTTTTTTTATCAAAGTCTACTTCTTCAGTATACATCTTTCAGACAACTTCTCATTTCATTTGACTTAAACCAATTTTATGGTTACCAACACTTACACTATTGTAATTTTTACATCACAAAAGTTCATTTTGCACAATGTCAGTGAACTTTTGTCAAAAATGGATATTATATGCATTTATGATGTAAGCTCTTAGAAAAAAGAGTAATTTAGAATAATAAAAATGCTATTAGATGTCTCTGATTTGTGACCATTTATTTGTCTAATAGCCCTGGGGCAAGTATCACTTCATAGTTTTTGCTGGGGTATTAAATGGCTGAAGCTGGTAGTTATTGAAGGGTGGGTGGGGGGGGGGGGGGTGCTCAAATTTAGTTAAGTTTAGTCACTACTGTAAACCTAGACACTTCTTTCTATGTACAATTCTCGCTGATGACAGTCCACTTTCTATACAAAAATGTCAAATTAATTATTTATTATTTTTAGGGGGAAGGGGAGTGGAAGGCAACAGATTTGGATTTGCGGGTAAAGCGCAAGAATTTGTTAAGGCTTAGCAGGACTGATGCATTAGTATGTAGATACCACATAGTCTGACAACTGTATTCAATATTTAATCTGAATGTCTTGCTAACACTGCCAAAAAAATTAACCTGTTTCATTGTTAAGAATTTTTTTGCCAGTGAAACAACCAAATTTTTAGCCGTTAGAAACTAAGCCCCTGTCTTCCTTATTAAGTTTAGAAAGGGATATAAAGTGTAAGAAAACAGCAATTAAAACAATGATATAAATGAGTAAATGATCACAACACTTCACCAATATAAAGACCATTTCCTAGGCCAGAGATTCATGTAATTAATATTATGTCTGAAACACAGAATTCCTGAATCATGTTATTTCCATTACGGAAATAAAAACTTGAAAAGCCCCTGAACATCATCAAAACCACCTCCGATGCAGTCTGCATTATTTGAAAATTGTACTTTGCCTGCAGGGGTTTGTAAGTGTGGAAATTTCGTCATGTGTACATCAGTCTAATGTCCTTCACCTCCTGATCCTTTAAGTTCAGCTGATTGAACTTTCATATCACCCATCCCACCAATACACAGAAAACACTACCCAAAACTGGGCAAGTACTGTGGAATATTCAAAATAAATGTGGCCTTTTAAGCACACAAAATCTACTTAGTAAACAACTGGATGTTGGTGCTTACTGGATGCAAAATGATACTAAAAGGTTGAGTTATCGTGGGATTGTTTGTTTTCGCTGGTTAACCATATTTACCCAACAGCCCCACTCTCCGAGCCCGGGCGGATTATCTTAATTTCTCTTGGCTCAGATTTCCCTGAGAAAACTTGCAAATCAGGTAGTGAAAATAACGGTACAAGTGTGATAGAAATCCATTCCGTTATCCACTTCAAAAGGATAAAATATTCTGAAATAATTAACTGATCTTAATAATAACTGAAGTATAATTATTAAGCCTTGGGAATGGTGAGACTGATACAGATGAGGTAAAATATCTTACATATGTTTTCATTTGCACAAAAAACGGGCACATGCATTGCTGCAATTCAGTGCCAATACATATAATTTTAATCAGACTCCTTCATGCTAACTTCTCATATACGTCACCGCACTAAAATTCAGCACTTTGCAATAAGATTTTCTAAAAATCAAATGACCAATGCAGGACTATGTAGAATTTTAAATATTCTGTGAAAAGATAACTTCAAAATATGCAAAAAGAAAAAAAAAAACCTCACAATTATCCTTACACAAAGAACTTATAAGAAATTTTGACCAAACTCACTCATCAATACTGAAACATGCAATCCTCTTCTTTATTCCTTCTTTCTTCTGTCGTTCCAGAGCCTCTCTCCCCAGAAAAGGCGTGTCAGTCTTCAGCTTGCAGGTGAAACCAAGGAGAGACTCGAGGGGGGTGTCATCAATACGGAGATCAGCATGCCAGTGACGGTAGCCTGGAACAGACAGAGGTGTTGTCAGTTTATCTGTCACAGGAGTTATTTTCCATGAATGAAGGAAAATCCTGGGACATATGCAGTGGGTAGCAATTAACCTGTTACAAGGAAGTTATTTCACAAAGACAGAGGGTAATTATGAAAACTGCAAATTATGCCATAAGAATATTTTTACCAATCTCAGGAATGACGACTTGAAAGTCATGATCCATAACCTGGGCCCCATCTCTTTTCCACAAAAAATTGGATTTCTTTGACTGTTGTGTAATAAGTCATAAAGCAAGAAATTGGTCAATATAAATCAAATGCTCTATTATATTGGAGAAATTGTTCTCAAATCTTGATTCTGAATATACCACATACACAAATGGATCTTGGTAACCACCAAAATAAAAAATAAATCAGCTTTGAAGTTGATCTACAATAAATTGAAGGCTTTTGGGTTGCAAGAAGAAAAAAACAAAATGGAATGCCTGAATGCTTAATTTACTCTGCACATATACAGTCACACCCCTTTCTGTACTTGAAAGCTTTGAACATCTTGCAAGCATACTTCCACACTTCCACACAGTGAAGAAAAGTAACCAGTGTCATGGCTTCTGTCCTCGTACGTCCTGTCACTTCCAGCGCCCGCCCTTTGATCATTTCTCCAAGGTGGCACACACATATCAAAATAAAAATAAGACCTGTGGAATTCTTCAATAAAAGTGTGTGTGACATGTGGTGTTGCTACTATAATTAGAATAACATTGAGGTTTTTTATTTCCTCCTACATGGAACTGTTTCAGAAGAATGGTTTTTTGGTCTTCATCTACTGCGGCTGTGGACTTGCAGTAAAAAAATGTTTCTTGTTATAAAAATACAATTAAAAAACATAACCATGAGTTCAATTAAAATTGACTCCCTCCCTTGCAAACATACAAATAGGCTATTAATCTTCTGCTGTACCATGTTTCATTGTCTTTTCGGGAGAATATTTATGAAAACAGTGGCAGATTTAGAGGGGGGGGGGGTCGTGACCCCCCTTCAGTTTCTGAAAAATATACTACACCAATATTCCCCTCTAGAAATTAGAATTTTGACTAGCTGAATCATAGCTCTAAACCGTACCAAAAGGGCACTGTTTGCCCTCCAAAACACCAAAAATATTTCGTGACCCTATAGCAGGCCTTGAACCCCACACCAAGGGAGGCGATAGTTGGCTCCGCATCTGAGGCCTGTCATTCTGGACCCCCCTTCAAATAATCCTTGACCTGCACCTGTGTAAACCTCTGTTATCCTCCAAAACTGTGTTATATATATCAATTTTCTCTCAAGACAGTGTTTGATAATTTCATAATTTTGTGATCAATATCTACAGTAATAATGTGAAGTTTCATTTCATTGTATAGGCAAGCTAGACAAAATGGCAGGATCAGATTAGATGAGTGTACTGCATTTCATACCATTGCAGAAATGGTGTCTTCCAGTTTCTCTTCCTCATGAAAGTTTAGAGCCTAGGTTTTTTTTTTCATTGTTAAGCTTAATTTTTAAAATCTTCTTTCAAAGCAAAAAGAACAGTGTGTCACGTATTAAACCCTATCAAAACGATTCTAGTCTTACAGGTCCAAAAAAAGGTTTCTCCAAAAATAACTATTCATCTATCTAGAATTACCTTGGGGGGTTTCTCCTTTTTTTCAAAAGCTAAATGAAACATCAAAATGGTGACGAGTATAACAAGATTTTCCAATGTCTTGCTATCAGACTATACCGTATACCGCTGGGAACAATCGACGAGTATCGGAATTACGATTAAATTTCTCCAGTTGCAAAATCTGATACATTTACACTGAAATTTCTTCCGTTTCAATGCATGACTAGAGATGAAAGGACAAACATCACAAAAAATGATCAAATTCCTTTTTAATGTTGCTGTCTGCATTACATAATTGAAAATAACAGGTGCGTAAGTTAAAGCAAACACCTGGGAGGAAGTACCCCCACCTACGCTTAAGTCTTCTGAAAGAGTGGGAGGGGGTCTTCCAGTACGAATTCCACTTTACATTTGTGTACTCTGAATGTGGAGACTACTTCTCTTCCAGATGAATTAGTATTAATTTCATTTTTTATGACAGTCTTTCATGTAATGTACTAAGTTACTGCATGCCTCAATACACTAGAATTTACATAGCAAGCAGGTTTTCTTGAACAAATTTTAGTGGGATGATAAGTGAAAAAAAAAGTACCAGTCACACTAGTAAGTCTTTTTATGAATGAATGTAATGTAAAACTGCTTAACGCTGTGTCTGTGACATGTTATTTATCTTAATGTACTAATTTCCCCCAAAATAACCTTTCTCAAAGTAAGGGGCCATACTGGTCTTTTCTTAGATCATCTTTGACTGACAGGCACCTTGCTATCTTGTACCAAAGTCAATTAAGCAAGGAGTAAGTGTGTTGTCCTGAGTATCCAGGCATGCAAGGAAGGCCATACTGTCACTGACTCCATTGAATAAAATACTTCAGAGTTACTGAAGTAAAAACCTACGAAACGGTTGACTTCTCAATTTCTGACATCTCTATCATCACCTTGCAACCCATAAACTGACAACAATCGTGATGCATGGGCAATTTTCTTCCTCACTCCCATTTTCATTCCAGTTATGAATACTTAGAACCCCACAAAAGAAATCCATACCTGCCCCATTATACAGCATACCAATAAACTGTAAGATATACTATACGCGTACACTATAATAATAATAATTTGGGGTTCTAAGAAAAAATAGGAAGAAATGGCAAGACAGTGGCTTGACTCAGTGACTCACTATTCCCAATATTTTAATTTTTTAAGATTTATCATTTCAGACACTCACAATTTTCAAAACTTTTGAATAGCACATTTCAGAATTTCTCTAAAAAATTACAGACAAAAATTACTCAGACAAAAATTACAGACAAACTATTAACAGAATAATTTGTTGTAAATGAAAATTTCACATACAACTTGCAGTATTTGAATTTATCAGAAGTTTAGTCAGACTTAGGCATCAACAAAACAAATCTCAATTCCCTTTTCCTTGGCACGTCCCGCCACCAGGTAAAACATGTTAACAGCATAACAAGAAAAAAAATCTTTTCATATCATAATATAATCATGCAGACAATTTTCAGTATGTCACAGGTCTGCCACACTAACACCTGGAGCCATTTTTAAGTCTTGGAAAGTGATGCACTTCAAGTAAAAATAAAAAGTACATAAATATCAAAGGCACTATATAAATATGCATATGCACTGCATAAAATGAACATGTGAATAAACTGTTATACTGAGAAAAAACAGATTTTGGCATTAATTTCCCACAATATTCACGGTTCCCTTGAGAATACAGATCTAACATTCTCACATCAATGTTGAAGCATTATTCCAGTGTGTGCTTCCTCTGACTGATGAATCCAAACTTTCCCATGCCCTACAAGTAATGACTTCCTGGAAAAATCAATTCTATTCTGGTCTCACCAAATAAAATCTTATTTCTCAACTTCATCATTGCTTCTAGTCCAGGCACAGTTTCACTTCCATTGCACTCTACTGCTTTGCCTATATACCAAAGATGGCCTTTTTTTTCATTCAAAATACTAAGTTTTGTAGTAAATAAGTTAAACAGACATGCATATTTGATTGGATAGTGACAAACAATAAATGGCTTACAAATATGTGAAAACATACAATAAAGCTGACTCTTCTGTCTACAATGGTAATGAGAAATAGATTTTTTTATCTCAAACATAAATGTTTTCAACACCACCAGATATCAATATCAGATAAACAGAAGACCACCAAAGTCTATGTATAAAGTTTAAACAGACTAGGGCTCTCCGTCACATAGGAATGCTTTGTTTCTATTCTACAGGAGTTTGCAGGTAATCCATGATAACATTATTCTAGTGCTGTCAAGACACTCTCCCACAGTGTCAACTGAGGGACTTTCCCACGTGACAATTGGACTGGTTGGTATTCTGCTTGCAATCGTGGCATAGCAATGTTCAGACAAAGATTGGAACAGACTGAGCCATGGTCCAAACTTGTACTGTCATCACAGCCATGTTCAGACAAAGACTTCAATGGACTGAGCTGTAGTCCAAACTTGTACGGTCATATGTAGAACTTGCAACTTGTATCATTTTCTTCAATTTTTTCTTCAGTTTTTTTATGAATGATTCTGAACATATTACACTGTTATAAGTGAAAACTCCAGATTATCTTCATATTGTATTTTTTTCCAACTTAGATATGAATACTCAATTCAGATCAATTTATGACAATAATGGCTTTAAACCACAAACTGATTTTTGTAATGAAATGATTAATCAGTGCATTCAAGGAACAAAAAGACAGATGGACACATTTCAATTTCCAAGATAACTGAGCATTTTATTTGGCAACACATTCATTCAAAACCAGCAATCACAGATACTCTTACAAAAGCATGGCAACAACTATCCGCAATTCACTCCACACACTACACAGTACTATCAAATACACAACAAGTAGCAGCAGCCGTCTCTTTCCTGTTTCCCAGCAATGGCCGCCTCTCCCACACTCCACTCTACGAGAATTCCTGCTTTCCCATGTGACACCTCCAATAAGCCACACTCCCTATGATAATCAGAGGATTTTAATGACAATTCTATACATGCTGCTATATGCAGAGCACTTTGACTCAGGCCAATAAATGGTATTTCATTAATACATTAATTACGAGGGGTCTGACAAGCTACGACATTAACAACAAGCTTTATGTGTTTCATTCAACATTATCTAAATTGCTCTCCGTGTATTTATTTAGTGATTCAGTTTCAATATTCAAATGCGGCAAATAATGATTTATCTGTCTATTCATCAAATATTAAGGAGGTTAAGTTTGGAAATTACATTTGCTGATTTGATTTTTCATAACTACATAATATTACATTCTTTGCTATTTATTAAAAAAAAAATCAAGCACTTTTGCTTCTTTATATTAGTCTTGGTTTCTGGGATACTTTGAAAGAAATTTAAATAAAATAAAATATAATAGCATAAAATTGTGAAATGAACAAGAAAGAAATACTCAAAAACTAGTCTTGAACTACAGTGCCATGTCCTTAGGAGATTAAATTTATCAGAAGCTTCTCTGACTCCATGAAGACATCATCATCATCATAATCTTGATAGTCGATCATGACCAAGAAATCCACTGCAACTCAGGAGTGATAAGAGTCTGGCCAATTACTCCTGTCAATTACGTTAATGGTCATCAAAAGGAAACATGTCTATTTCTCACACCTACAAATCATCCTGACAAACTACACTGTCTTCTGGCGTCAGTGCTTTAGGTGACTGACAGGCAGCTCAAGTTCATCAAATTATATCACGGTAAAGTGAGAAGAACATGCAACGATATTCCTCTTTCTTAAAAACATTTATACCATACTTGAGCTTATTTCTGAATAGATAACTATCAAATTATAAAATAACTGTCAAATAATAATTTTCAATTTCAGGATAAAGGAAAAAAAATCGTCCAAGAGCACACCTGATGGTTTTTAATACACCTCCAATTAACTTCCCACCCTGTAATGAATTAATTAGCACAGCCAAAATATGAGCAATATTCCCACCACCACCAGGCCTCCCCATTAAACCCGGAAGTTGATCTGATAATTACAATACTATCCCACACTGAATAAGCTGACAAAGGGAAATGACACATGACAAATGAGATGTTGTTTTTATATCAGCTGATATTACACATACAGCTGTGGGAACTGTCCGCTCAGACAGCACACACACACTGCAACTTTAACTGTAGTCAGGAATTATACAGATTTATTTATCAGAGTAGTAACAAAATTATCACTCCTTTATTATTATATCTGAATCAACTAGGTGTAAATGTTTTATCTAAAATGTACCTCATCTAATTTAATGAATTAACAGGTGAGATAACAGTCATCCTTTGTGTATGACACATTCATCAAAATAATTCTAGTGTCATAAAAAAGGACTGCTTATATTCAATTTAACTAGCATTAAACATATACTTTTAGCCAAGTTAAGTGAAGGATAATTTTTCTTGATAAAATGATATTTTCTTCAGCTACAATATTTCAAGCATGACACCTCTACCCCTCAGGCAGGCCACAAACAGAAAACTTTGGAAACCACAGCTTTTAATTCCACCTTTCAGACCACAACTGTCTCCCTGCAGTAAACCACTAAATGTGCTCTTCTTTCTTTGCTATATCAGGACGTCTTTCTTGTCTTCTCCTCTTACACCACATCACACAGTTCACTTGTACCTGGTCGTTTTCACCCACAGTAATTAAGGGGAATTTAGAACTGAGATTTTATATCTCCAACTTATCTTGTCTATTACCTTTATATCTTGTAAATGAAAAAAAAACCCTGAAATTGTCTATTTTTCTTGAAAATATAAAAGAATTTTTATAAAAACAAATAAATAAAAAATACTAAGTTATGCAGTGCAGTCATCCTGTTCATTAGCACATCTTATTTCTTCTCTCCTGTCAGCATGGAGTAATGCACCACAGTATCATCTTCAGATAGAGCTTTCTGTCCCCCCCTAGCCCCGATACACAGTAGATTTATGTGGGAAGAGAATAGATTGACAGTTAAGGATGTCTCAGTAAAATGAAATTACCTTTGAGTTAAAGTAAGAGGAATGATTTTGTCAAGCTAGTTGATATGAATCTTTGATTTTTTTGCAAATGTAATGATTTATTCATTTATTTATTTTATTACTATTTATTATTATTTTTTTTTTTGGTGAAAGTATATAAGTATTAGATACAATTTCATAGTAGTTATTGCATTAATTTCTGTACAAAGAAAAACAGGTGGTTCTTGAAAGGAAAAATTACATGAAATATTTGTAGGCATTAAATAAACAAATAAACACATAAATAAATAATATTATTTAAAAAAGAAAAGATGAAGGCATCACTAATGTTTCACTTATGTCTGTGCAGTGTGATGAGCCATGAAGATGGCCTTGAAACATGCACTCTCACTCTCTCACAGGAAGTCTTCACATCAAACCTGACAACCATGAAATACCTGGAGGGGAGCAGGGTTTACTTCATGCAGAACTGGGGTTTACTGATCTAACCAGAAATCAGTCAAAGAAGAAAAAGTGCTGGAAAAACTGGTGGTTTTCAATTTTCCTGTTAATAATTTGATAAAGATGTGGTGATATAACTGAAACCATTGTTAAGGGAACTTTGTTTGCCTGCAATGACAGTCATTTTATTATGTAATAAAAAATATCACAGAAGTGCTGTTAAAATTTGTTTTTTTTGAGAAAATATCACAAGAAGTTACACAGGAAAAGGACAATTTTGGAGGTCAAATTTGGCTGTTACTGTCAACTACTTTGATACTTTTATTTGCTTTGGCATCTTAAAAAAAAAACGTAATGAAACAATCACAAAATAAAAAAGATCTTAAAAACCACTCCCCTTTATTGCAATTTTTGGAGAAATTAGTGGAAAAAAAACAGCAATTCAGAGGTTAAATATGAGTATTACTGTCAACCACTTTGACCCCCTGCCCACAGCAGTAAAGAGGGAAGTAATTTCTGCCACTCACATCATCTACAAACCAAGGTGAGAGACTAACAAATGGTCCCGTGCTTTGTCATCATCAAAGTGACACAAGCAAAATATGGTCGCACAACTAAGCTGTGACTAACTCTGAGATGGTGAGACTCTGGGAGAGAGAGAGTCAAGGACAAGAAGAAAGCATTCAGAAAACTACACATATTTTATTTTTCCACACATAAACTAGTGGATTCACAGAGCTCCAACAATAACTGCCCATCAATTTCCTGAAGGGAAAAAACTTAAATTTTGTATTTTTTTCTCTTTGAAAGGCTCTTCTGCTGTTGTGTGATCCAGACTACCTCTATAAAGAACTAGCAGCCTGTTCCTAAATATCTGGACCTTTAAATGAAATATTTTAGTTTTATATGAACAAAGATAGATAAGGGTTTCTCAATGAAAATATTGGCTGGTTGAAAATATTGGCTACTTAACTAAAATGAAAAAAAAGGACGGCAATTATAAAAAAAATTAGCTACTAGTTCTTGGACTACTACTTATTATTAAGTGATCTCCAGTTCTGGCATAAATATCACAAAAGTCTCAAGTTGAAAGTGGATGTAAAGTTTTGTCTTAGTTAAAGCTAAATTTCATTTTTTTTTTTTTTTTTTTGTAAAAGCAGATTTTGCATGAAAATGGCCAGAGATTTTTGCTGAGTGTTATTTGCTCGCATTGTGTTGTCACCACTTAGCTAGTCTGTGCAGACTGTGTGAGAAATATTCCTATACCATAAAAAAGTCTCACATTCATTAAAATTCAATTGTGGCCATCAAGCTATTATGACTAACAAACAACCTTTCTTTTTTTCTAATCAACCCTACTTTTATCACAGCTTCAAGGACATACCCAAATTTACACAATAAAGATTTTTTTTACAGAAAATCCCACAAACCTTGAAATAACTTTCACTGTACAAACAGAAAAACAATGGCACATAAATCAGAGATGAATGGTCTCTGTGCTGAGCTAAGTGACAATACTAATGGGTCTTCTTACCTTTCTCTAGACTTAGTGAGTCAATGGCTCTGTAGCCAGCATTAGTGATGCCATACTTAGCACCCGCATCCATCACGGCATGGTACACGGCAAGGCACGACACGTTGGGAACGTGCAACTCCCAGCCCATCTCTCCTACGAAGGAGAGACGCAGCGCACGCACTTCATGTCCAGCAACAGTGACCACCTGAAAGGACACAAATCTCAGATTTTGCAAATGGTCACTTTTGATGAAATAAGAAAAATCAGTAAATTTTGCCAAGTTAAAGTGATAATAACTCTTCATTTTGGCCAAAAAATGAATTTTCCTGGAGTAAACAACAATTTTCCTATACTAACCAATGGTTAATGAATCCATTTTTACGTTCAAAGTTAGTGCCTGGTTTTTTTCTAAAAAGTTTGTTTTTTGGTTAAAATCTCTTAAGAGATTTTAACAGAGTATAGCCATCAATGGAGGACATGTGGTCTGGAGAGAAGTTCAGATATCAGGAAAAATAGCTATAACTGCCATTTTTGTGGTAAAACAGAATATATTATATTTCTATGAGTTATTCACAATGTTTTTACTGTGAAATATAGATCTCATATGAAGAGTTATTATCCCTTTAAACATTAACAGAAACTGTATTTTTTTCACAACGATTGTTAATTAATGTGATGTTTGATCAAAGTTAGGTCTCAATTTTTCTTTTTTACCATTTTTGTACTGAGTATACTTAAATTTCATTTTATTAATCATTGCAACTCATGAGCTAAAAACAAATTCCTCTTAATATTAGCAAAGGTCTGCACATTGTGAAAATTATGTTTCCCATAACTGACACTGATAATCATGACATTACCTTGTTAGTGGAGAACGGAAAAGCTTCATTGCTAAGATCTGCATCAGTAAGAGTCTGGAGCAGCTCTCGGCTGGAAATTAAATAAAAATTAGTCATAAATGCACATTTACCAGAGAATTTTAGCAAGCTGGTTTGTAAATTAAGAGAAGAGGAAGGCCATCAGTTGTGAGTCTTGACACTGCTTTGAACACTTGTTACTTGTTGTTTTGGGCCTTCACTAAATGTAAATATGCTACAGGAGACTTCTTTCACAATTGGATTTTAAAAAATTATCTTTAAATTTTTCATTGATCAAAATTTCTGGCCAGTATACAGCACTAGTCAATCTCGGATTTGTCAAAGAACATGACATTTTGCTTTTTTATGATTTTTTTCTATTATTTTTTATAACAGAATCTCAGCATGAAATAAGTTTTCAAGTGGGATAAAATGTATCCTTGGTTATGTCCTCAACACTAGAACAATTCCCCAAAACAGACTTTGAGTAAATTGATGGCCAAAAAGGAGTGCTACCTGCATAAATAAAGCACACAGAGGAGGAAAGTGGACATTTTTCCCACCCAGAAGTTCGGTGGTCCATATCAACATATTTAATCACCTGGCCTGTATGCCCACTATGTCCAGCAGTTTACTGTCAAAACACTGACCATGTAAGCTCCGGTCATTTCACACAGCCTAAATCTCCTAATCAGGGTTCTCTGGTCGTAATCTACCTGTAAACTGCAGCATTTGTATAAATAGTGTTCCCTTACAATATAATCATTACGCAACTAAGAAGGCGATCCTGTTTAACATTTTCCGTTCTAAGTAGGGATATTTGTATACGATCTCTGTGACAGCTCACCAATTTCTATTACCTTCCTAATAAGGGGACAGGGAAAGCAATGCGGAATTTATGAAAGCATTTGTGTTGGTGGTGGCTTCTACTTGTAAGATGGGATGGCTGTGTTTTGGTACGGGAACAAAAGTTCTGGAAGCTGGAATGCTGCCCAGTAAATATTATCCCAGATATTGAGACAGTTACTCTTGTTCGCAAAACATTCCCACACACTAAGAATGTTCCTAACTATGGATATATAAATTAACGACTGTAAAGATATCGGTTCTCTAAACATATGCATACAAAGTGTGATGAAAAGATCGCTCTTCTCCTATTTATTCCCAAAACACGTCTGTTTTGAAACAGTGTCATTCTCATAAGAACCAGCATTTCAAAATGTGCGAAAAAAATCCTTTTAACACTTTTCACAGCTAATGACTGTTATCACTTTGATATTTTTTGCTTTGATGATGGTTACTTCCAGTGCATCTAACTTCTTAATTTTACTTTGACTTCCAGGTGTATTTTTTTACTTTGCAATTTTGATCAAATGTAAATGTTTCGATATAAAATAATAAATAAACCTGCAAAAAAAAGTAAAATAAATACATTTTTCAAATACAAAATAAACTGGAGTCAAAACTAACAGCCAGCTCAATTAATGGGTTTGAAAAGGACGCCCGTAGTTTTCAAATATTAGCAAGTTGAGTAAATACAGGAGGTGGCATGTATAAGAAGCCGAGAACAAGGGCAGTCATAAATAACAATTCAAGTGTACTTACTGAAGGTGAACTTTGTTTAAATCTTGAAACATTCTACATGGTAAATAGATGAAAGAGGTCTTATCATTAGGTCAGCAAAGTCAAAGGCTATGCTCTTGTAAGACGCTTATGACTATTAATAACATGTATCGCTTCATAAGACAAAATAACCTATACACAAAGAGAAAAAAAAGAGCTTAAATTTGCATTTTTCCAGGTCACACCAGTTATGACCTAATACTTGATGAGAGGAAAAAGTTTCCAACTACATTCACTGAGTAATAACACTGATTGTGTACAGTGTAATGGTAATTATTGACTTTGTGTTCCAGTGAGGCAACAAAGTTTAATTTAGTGGAAGAGGAATGTTTTTATTATGAAAGGTTGCTTTTCTACCCCTGAAATGTGAGGTACATGCCACCCTTACCCCTCCCTAGGGAAAACTAAACAAGTTCAAGTTTGTCTGAGAAGAAAAAAAGAAAAAAATATTTAAAAATTGTTGGAGGGCATTTCGATGTTCAAAAATTAATGCTACAAATTGATTTCATTTATGTGAAGTGATGTGTCTCAATTTTGAAAATTCTTATTTAATATTTAAAAAATCAAAATTTCATTGGTTTTCTAATGAAAATATATTACAATATATTCATTTTCAAAATAGTTGAAAGAATCCAAGTAGATATTTCTAAAGAAAACAATCATCAAATTTACACACAACAAAAAATAATGAAGGAACATCACCTATGAATGATAATAACAGGAAAAAACAACAATGTAGTATTATGAGAAATTACAGTAAGAATATTTGTAAAGGAAGCTGATCCTATAATTCAGTCTACTACTATGATTACTACATATATTGTAAAGATGTCATGGAGACTGCACTGATTTTATCTCTCTCCTCCTCAGTCCAGGGCTAGTATTAGTCCATCAACCTGACCCTAATCATAGTACTTACGGGGGAAGTAATGTGTTAGCATGGTCAGATGTAATCTATGTGAGAATGACACCTTCGCCAATCTCTCAGGCTACAACTGGCCTTGGTCTTGCTTTTATTGAAAAATGTAATGCTTGTTTGATTATTTAATTTTTTTTTCTTTCTAAAATATCTAAAATTTCATCAAGATTGTACAAGTTTCCTTCTTCCATTTTACCATTTTTTATGCCCAAAATTCAGCAGTGGAATTATGCTGCAACTTTGTTCAGTTTATCTTTTTCTCTAACTAAAATTTAGCAAGCTGCTTCATATCAGATACAATTTTTTTTGAACAATGAAAAAGAACAAACATTTTACATACATATATTACATGCTTCCTTAAAGGATTTTTTTTTTTGGGGGGGGGGGGGGGGAAGAGGAGGGGGAAGAGGAGGGGGCAAACAGGGTTAAAAAGTTTCATCAACTATGGAATCTATGAATTGAAAAGATAATTCATTATAAAAATTATGTACAAAATGAATGAGGTGCAAGAATTTTGAGAAGAATAACTGTGAAAGGCAATATCTTCAGTCAAGTGCAAAATATAAGTTTTTGATATAAAAGTATGATTTTTATTCATAAATTTGACAATCTACATTGTTTTCTTTCAATAAACTTTGTAGGGGTAGAAAAAAATTCAGTTTTTGTTTCAGAAAAAAAAATCGGGGAAAATATAACAAATCTGGTCAACCCAAAAACTTATACATGTCCTTGGTCAGCCCAAATACCATTCCACAGCTGAAGTTGGCCCCAGACAGCCTCATATGACAACTAAATACAAGCCTGTCCGTCATTTCCCTTCACCAATAATAGTGGAGGTGTTCTCGTGGTAACCCGGCACGAAGATTAAAATCTCCGCCAAGCAAAGGTGTGTTTAAGTGCCGACATGGTGAGTGATTCTACTGCCGGAGATGACAAACTGTGGGAATGTTAACACTATTCCACGCCATCAGATCTGGGATTATCTGCTGTAAAGTCTGATTAGCCCAAAGTCAACCAGATTAGAAAATCCTCCCCATGTATCTATTAGACACGTTTCTTCACAAAGTTGGTAAATAGATGGGAGAAAATTTAAAACCTCCCATAACAAAACTAAGTGCACAGCCCAAATATGAGTTGCAAAAAAACGTTCGAAGAACAAATACACCAATTTGATATTCATCATGTCTTCACACAATCTCATGAAATTAATACAGCAACAAATTTTTTCAGACACCAAAAGAGCTGAATTTGGACAGAAGATCTCTTATCAACCCGTCAAACTCTTATCAGCAGTCCATATTTCAGACTCTACAAGTGTAATCAGCCATAATTAACTTGTCACTTCTCAGCCTCACTGGTACACAAAACATTTACGTCCCTGTGTACAGGAAGTGAGCAGGTATGACATAACATTGACCAGGTAATTAAGCTCAGGTGCTTGGTCACTTCCCTGCCAATTTTCAGGTGTTAATGTGAGGTTCCCGCGGAGCTGGCATTAACTCCCAGTGGCAGTAGTAAGCTGCCTATATCTCACGTGTGGTCTAACTACGACGTGAATTGTTTCAGTTTTGTAAGGTGACTTTCGCTGAATCCAATCAGCAATCAGTTGAACAGATTTACATTCTTCCCATTTGTTTCCAACATACTCGACATATAATCACCAACTTTTCTGTTATCTTCTCAATGCCAAAATATACTGAATTTCCACTTTTTATTCTCAACTAAGGACAAGAAAGTTCTGGAGCAGCTTACCCCTTTAATATCAAATCTAAAAAATTCTTAGTTTTATCCTAACATACATAAATTTTCTCTGGCTTCATACACTAGAAACATATATAACATTTCTGTGTGTGTTAAATGTAGGGTATCATCAATCAGATTTGAATATCTTTCCTTCTATCCCCCTCCTCCTCATCAACTCTTCATGACCATCCATGTGTCAGAGGAACTATACATTTTTATAAAATGTCATTTTTGTTATTAACTCTCATCATACCCATCACTGACAATTTATTTTACTCTGCCATATTAAACTGAACATGTGGTGAATCAAAACAAAAGACATAGAGGGAGGAGATGCAAATTTCCGTATCTTTTCTACTTTTGGTTGGGGACCCACATATCATAAGGTAGATTCCAAAAAATATCATTCTGATCACTTCATTTTTTTACTCCTATTAAGATCTCTGGGATCTGCCCGTGTCGATCCCAATGACTGAACAGGTTATTCCGGATTAGAAGTATTTAATCCAGCTGATTTCTCATGTCCCTTGGAAAGAAAACCTCACTGGTTTCATGAGGTCAGTGTACTAAAGGTCAACTACAGGTCAACAGTGGTCAATTTCAGGCCAGACTGCTTGCTTATAACCCAGTGAGAAAATTACCAAGGTTTACTAGGTTAAACGGGCACACGCTAATAGAACTTCTGGGTTAAAATACACTTAAATTTCAAGAAAATCTTAATCTTTAATAAAGAAGTTGCGGACTGATTATGAGTGACTTACTAAACATGTTTTATGTATTTTCATTTCAAAGGATGGAACTAGTTTTTTAATAAATCATGTAGCAGACTAGCATGACTTGAGTGGAGAGTTCCACGCTATTGTGTGGGATATCTTACTGTTTGACATCCACCAACACCTGCTATAGTTTCATAAAAAGTTCATCATTTTAGAAATCATAATACAGGGATTCATCTAGCAGGTCTTTTATTTGGCATATTCGACACGCTATTTAAAGCTTTTACACCTATTTCACATAGAACTTGTTAAAACTAGTAAGAGCAATCTATTCTATAAATTTTGAGGAATGTTTTCATTGTTATTAGAATGACTAACAATAGATGTACAGACTTTAAAAACTATCATTCAGAAGATGAAATGCAGAGGACTGAATAAATGTGCAGAAAATGTGGCTACTTTGACTAGTTTTCATAGAAAAGTACAGCATTTTAAGTAATATGCAATGTCCTCTAATTCCAGTATTCTGGTTAAAAATGTTTGTTTGCTCAGTTCTTTGAGAAAATATTAACATTTTTTACATTCATCTAAAATAAGATAAATTTGAAAAAAAAATACTATGAATTTACGGAACTGCAAGCCAAGCAGAAGTATTCAAGCGAGGTGACATATTGTCCTTGTAGCTATTAGCTTTTAGCAGTTTTCAAGTAACTAATGTCAAGTCTTAGCGTAAATCTCAAGGGCTACTTACAGACAGGAAATGAAAAGTTTTTATTTAACATCTAAGATCTAAACGTGACTTGGTGAAGTAAGTGAAAGGCACATATTTGACCAAGAAATGGTTCAGACCTAAATGACACACAAAACTCCATTCTCCGGTCTCTCAGCCATGTTTCATTGCTCTTTTATATAAACAGTTTACTTTCCATTTCCTTCACTACACAGCTCTGCTAGGACTATATGCAGTAACCAGTTAAATATCTTCACACTGTTAACACAATCCGGCTGCCATGACCATGTCCACAGCAGGAGCTGACAAAAATGCCCGTTTTATTCTGAATAATTACAGCAAGTGGATTGCAATCAAGCCTCTACCTGCCCAGCATAACTTCACATATAACTTATATCACTCATTCAGCCCATCACTGCATCTTTCAAGGAGCAAAGGACTTATGCTGTGCAGACATCAACTTGGTTGCAATCATAACCGCTGAATTTGTAAAAGACTGAATCAGATTTGCAGAAGTGTGAACACGCCCCCAAATGTTTGTAGCTACTTAACACCTGATCTTGAACACAGTTAATCCCGGTTATAAAGTCAACAGAACGTGACACTAAGCACACCGTACGCTCCCGGGCCTCATAATACCCCCATCTCTCCCCCCGCGCTGTGTGTCAATATGGCTGACGGCGGAGACAATGTAAGGGCTACGGAGGAGGACAAAGGCCTGATCTCACTCCAGGCAGTACATATTCATGGGAGAAATGTTTGGGAAAATCATTATTAGTACTATGTAACATAAAGCATTTTCCATGTTTAATTAACTTAGGTGTAAGGGATTCTTACACCTTGCAAAAAGATACCTGGACATGACTTAATCACCCTGAGCTTCAGAGCTAACTTGACACTAACCTTTTCACTGTAGCCTATCTCCATCGTGTCAAGTAACCTCCCCCCTTAATACTTAATACTCCCCCCACCAAAAAAAAAAAGACTTTAAGCAATAATGATATGGGCAACTTTTTATATTCATCTTTTAGAAGATATCCAGAAAACATGATTTAATTTCTTCAATCAAGTTATAAAAATCTATAGCAGAAATCAATTAACCCGTTTCTGCCACTGCCTATTAAAGACAAACACTTTTCACATAAAACTTTAATAATTAAGTAGTTGTATAAAAGCTATATAAAAATTTGGTTTAAAATTTTACTGTAAGTATACACTCAGTTTCTTTAAAATAATCTTTTCTGACTCATTTTTGCAATCATGTTCCAAGTTAGGATGCCTGGTGGTAAACGAGAATTTGAAAACTAAACAGCCACTGGGCTATGACAGCACTGCAGAGGTATTTTCGTTTTAAACAAGTACTTTAAATAATACAATCAAAACAATTCTTAACCAAATCAATGGCAAATGAGCAGATTAAACCAATTTTACTTCTTGCTTCTTTGCCAAAATACAAAATCTTTAGCCATTGGCAAAATTTCTAAAGGCAGCATGTTTCTGAGGGTAGCAATTCCAGTACAAAACACAATCAGTCCATCTCTCCTAACACAATTACTTGGGACAACCAGACCTTGACTAGCAACTCCCTATTCTTTAAGATTACTAGAATGTGACTTATTTTACATGAAAATCATATTCAAATCATTTCATTGGTAAAAGTTAAAATTCAATAGGTCTGAAAGCTTAATCTGCAGCAATCTTTAGCTTACGGAGGGCAAGCAATTCAGTAAACCTAACAAGTCAACATGTAGTCATCTTGTTGCAAGAGGCTTATTATCTTAGAAATGTGTAATTGGCAAAAAATTATGCACAGACTGAGACTAACTTTGTAAAAGAATGAAAGAAATTGGACTTAGAATCACTTGACAACAGCATTAACTAAGATAAACATTTCTAGGCCTTTTTTTGTTGCCTCAGTTTGTCTGGTTTTCAACTCGTCTCACAATCTCACCTTTTGGGTCCCTGAATACTCATGAGTGCCATGTCGTCGGAGTGGTCAATGAGATGACAGTTAAACTTCTGGTCCTGGATCACTGTCTGGATGTGTGAGTAGTTCTGCTGGGCCGCCCCGCCCCCTGCCGCCAGGTAGAAACCTCGACCTGGAATAGCAACAATTACGTAACCATCAGAAATCAGGGACCGGCATGAAGAATGAAGGGGGTTTTAAAATTTTCAAAACAATTTCAACAATTTCCGACTTAAATATTTTTGTTAGATGGGCTTATTGTGAAAACATGTTTTCCCTGAAAACAGAACAACTGTACAAAGTAAAATAACTTCAAAATACAGAAGCAGCTTTGCAAAGTTTACATGTGGATCAGAACCACTTAAGATAGAAACTGACAGACATGAAGGAAAACAAGAGAAGGATAGAGTATGTTTGTGTTGTCAAAGATAAGGTAAAAGATAAAATACATGTATTTATTGAATGTCCACTGTTTAAAAATCAGGGAAGATTGTTTAAATCTGTGTCACCCATTACCTTCAAACTTGGGTGCATGAGGTCCTCCCGAGCCTGGTTCAATAGCACTGACAGTTAAATCTGCCTCCACACCTCCTGCCTGGTTTAGCATACAAGTATATACAGTGTGACCTACATAGAAAGAAATTTTTCTATTCATCACATAACTATTACCATTATAAGTTTTCAATTTTTTTTCAAAGATCAAGTTGCATGTTTAACAAAAATGTCAAGACATTTTAGAAAACTGCTGAAATAAGTTTGGCCAAGGTAAGTCCAGAGGGGGGGGGATTGCCCCCTTAAACTGGGCTGTCAGAGCCCAGAGAGACTATCATATAATATAAACTTAGTTCTAATCAAAATTTATTTATATTTACTAAAGCAAAACAGATGAGAGTATGTATGTTTATTGTATTTAGAAAGAGAAAAAGTCCTATTTCCACAAATATTGAATATTGTGTCTTTTCAACAATTGTTTTGATAAACAGTTGATTAGAATTATTTTATTAAACTTACCTTCAGGTTTCTGCATATCATTACTGAAGATCCAGTCTGCAGCTTTCTGTGCGTCAGGCCCCACTAAGTAATACTTGCCAAAGTACGACATGTTGAAGATGGCCACTGACTCTCTGCACGTAAGACACTCCTTGCCAATCTGCCAATGGAAAATGTACTAAAATATATATCTCAGAATGCTTTCAGATTTTCACATGTATGATTGAATACCTAAAAGAGCAAAAACTGCTGTGAAAATTTGGAAGAAGATTCATGCATACAGCACAAATTAAGTAATAAAATAATCTTTTTCAAGGCATGTTCATATCAAGATCAACTTGAAAAAGGACGCCAGCCTACAATATATATTACTCAAAGGGGATGGACAGAGGCTATTCACCTGAATAGCCTAATTCACTGTAAAGATTCTCTGGACAGACATTCATATATTGCAAAAAGCAATTTCAATATCGGCTACTGACTGAAGGAAAAATTACAACTTTATTCTTAAAACACAACACAGCTGATGAAATTTTTCTCTGAATCACTTGACAGATTTTTAATCTTGAAAAAAGCATTTGTGGTGCTTTTACTACAAAGAATAGAACTACAGAGTGGCATTCAATAGATACATTCTAATTTAAAGAAATTATGATCTAAAAAATACAGTATCTGTAAAATCCACTATTTTTCCCCAATGAAAATGACGAGTAATTTCTGTACTTACAATATCATGCTGCACAGGGAAGTCAAAGGTATAGTCATTCTGCAGTCGCTCATAGTAAGTATTAGGATCATGGAGTTGGTAGTCATAGGAACCATAGTAATCATAGCTCAGCCGCTGAGGAAATAAAAATACTCATTTAAAATTTAATTAAAACCTAACAGTGCACAACAGAGTCACTTTACTCGGAGTAATAGATATTGCTTCAAAATCATCAATATGCACATCTTAATGAATTAACATTATAAATGAATTAACAAATTGAGCACATTTCATGCAATGTTTACGATTATACAGTTGTTGGGATACTAAAATATCTATATCTATAATATCTATATGTATATAAACTATTACCTTAGCAGGACCCTGGGGGGAATACCAACCACATCTATATCTATCTTATCTATATGTATATAAACTATTACCTTAGCAGGACCCTGGGGGGAATACCAACCACATCTATATCTATAATATCTATATCTATCTTATCTATATGTATATAAACTATTACCTTAGCAGGACTCTGGGGGGAATACCACCCACATCTATATCTATAATATCTATATCTATCTTATCTATATGTATATAAACTATTACCTTAGCAGGACTCTGGGGGGAATACCACCCACATCTATATCTACAATATCTATATCTATCTTATCTATATGTATATAAACTATTACCTTAGCAGGACCCTGGGGGGAATACCAACCACATCTATATCTATAATATCTATATCTATAATATCTATATGTATATAAACTATTACCTTAGCAGGACCCTGGGGGGAATACCAACCACATCTATATCTATCTTATCTATATGTATATAAACTATTACCTTAGCAGGACCCTGGGGGGAATACCAACCACATCTATATCTATAATATCTATATCTATCTTATCTATATGTATATAAACTATTACCTTAGCAGGACCCTGGGGGGAATACCACCCACATCTATATCTATAATATCTATATCTATCTTATCTATATGTATATAAACTATTACCTTAGCAGGACTCTGGGGGGAATACCACCCACATCTATATCTACAATATCTATATCTATCTTATCTATATGTATATAAACTATTACCTTAGCAGGACCCTGGGGGGAATACCAACCACATCTATATCTATAATATCTATATCTATAATATCTATATGTATATAAACTATTACCTTAGCAGGACCCTGGGGGGAATACCAACCACATCTATATCTATAATATCTATATCTATATAAATTATTACCTTAGCAGGACCTTGGGGGGAATACCACCCAGGTCTTTCCCAGCCTTGTCTCTCTTCAAACACACAGCCAGCTTCCTCCAGTGTCTAAACATGGCAGAGAAAAAGAAAAATGATTAGCAATTCCTATTTCTGTTAAAACAGACAGGGTTAAATATAAAAATTTAGCTTCTTTCGTTCCTTACATTCTTTGTCTTTGATTGCACATAAGCTTTACAAACTTCAAGTATCCTAAATAGACAAAAAGATATACATGGAACAGAACACTTTCTCTTCATCTTTTAGTCAATGAAAATACCATTCTTTTGTTTATAATATCCAAGTATTCTGAACTAAACATTATTGATCATTTAAACATGCACTATATATTTTAAGAAAATGAATGTTTTAAATGTGAAAACCTTTCCGCGGTCTTACATCAGTGAGGGCATCTTTCCTCATATTTCTACAGGCCAGGGGCTCATCATGAGGGTAAACTATGGAGTAGTTTTTGGCATATGCCTCATGGCTCCTCTCTACGATCCACTTGTAGTTGTCTGTTAGCTTTTCTGTGAAACGTCTGAAGTATAAAAATGAAAAAAATAAATATACAGCGTTTCTTACTGCATGACTATTTAAGTAGTTTTTTTTTCTAAAGCAGCAGTACACAAACTTACAAATAGAAAGAATAAGCACTAAAAGTACTTTTTCAACTACACCAAATTGCCATTTTAATTTTGACAAACTATTTACTCAAATTGCTCCAATCTCTTAACATTTAATAAGACCTTAATTTCTTAGCTCAACTTTGTGACCAAAAATAAATCAAGGTCCATGTCTTTGCTCACCTGATATCATAGCCGTACATGTCCAGTGTTGGTCGTCCCTGTATTATCCAGTCAGCTAGCTGCTTGGCACAGCCTGCACCTAAACAGGGAAAGTATGGTCAGGTTTTTTTTCTTTTCATACATCTTTGTTATCACTTAATTCATACACCTATGTCAAGCAGATGACTAGCAAGGTAACAATAATTACTAGTTTCTACTTCCTACACGCTATAATATTCAAAACTATAAGGTTAGATCCATGCATGCGTGCACAAACAAAATTTTTAATCAAATCAAACTGGTTCACTCCAGGTGCTATATGTAGAATTTTAAACAAAATTTTATAAATGTTATCGCATTGAGCTTATCAAAAATTCAAGAAAGATTACCATGGAGAGGTGTATATACATGTGGTTGTACACACATGCAGATAATAATAGCTGTGTATTTCAAATATAAAAAGTTCACTGATTTTCATCATTTTCAAACAACACACACCAAGTCTTCATACCACCAATCAAACAATCACATGTCAACACTGATGAAGCTACCTGGAAAATCAAACGAGGGTAATAACACATCACTGGACAGACTGCCAAGACCAACAAGACAACTTCTGTCACATGACACTGGGACCAACATCAAGCCTGCCACCAGCATACGTATATAGCAAAGATGGTTCTAGAAAATCTGGCCTATTACACTAAATCATCCAGCCAGCTGGGAGAAGACATGATGAGAAGCATGCACTGGCTTTAGGGACCATTCCCAGACCCTATCGTACTACATATGGATCGATATATCTTCCAGAGGTTTTTTGTTAAATTGCAATCAACTTAAGCAGCTTAGATGTCTGTCAAGCCTACTGAAGCTGCTATGGAGTAATTAATTATCGTTTAGCAGCTTCAGTAGGTGTGCCAGACAACTACGCGCTCAAGCTGAAAGCAATTTTAGTGAGAAAAACCTTGGAGATGGATCGATCCTGTTAGATCGATCTAGGTATGGGAACTCAGTCTTAGACTGTTAACTCACTCTTGTTCATCCCAAAACTGTTAAAACCACAGGCGTGGTAGAAACCTCGAACCTCCACCGCCTCCCCTAGCAACGGCTGGTGATCAGGAGTAAATGCCTCTGAAAGTGGTGATTGGTTAAAATTGATAACGAATTTCTGAGAAGAAATTTCAGGACTTACTTAAGTTCATTCCTAAGCTGTTAAACCCACAACCGTGAAAAAATCCCCTCACTTCTGGCGCCTCTCCAAGGAGAGCTTTGTGATCAGGGGTGAACGACTCTGAAATATAAAACAATACAAAACACATGCATGCATTTACTTCTTATATTTTTGATCTAATTCTTTAAGTTAATGTATGCAAAAATTATTCACTATAATTCAATAATTTTCTTATTGAAGAAAAACATGATAGATAATAGATAATAAAAGATAAATATGACAGAAAAATTTGCATGTTACATCACTTACACCTTTGTTGATAGGGAAATCCAAGTTCTACGTACAAACTAAAATAACTGAGGTGATAAGACTAAAAGAACAAATGAACTTATGGTCGGCTGTCCCTGTTTTTACCTGGCCCACAGACTGTAGACTTGATTCCGGTGTCTCCTATCTTGGGAACTCTGTTCACTGCGCCCTCTATATGAACACTGAACACATCCCAGTCCAGGTCAAACAGGCTGAATGCAAAGTCATCCTTAACCTAAGTATAGAAATAACATCTTAAAGATAGTATATTTTATAACATTTATTGTACACATTATACAAACATTATCACGTAGGCCAAACATCAAATGGATGTTTTGTTTGTTGTTTTATTTTCTAACAAAATTAAGCAAAAATTTTTAAGAATCACTCCTGCAGGCTGACTATACAAATTTACTTTTTCCCCTTAAACCTCAAATCCAATTACTCACATTCACCCTCATTTCATTACTTTTTTAATCTCAAGTTCTCTAAATTGGTAAATATGTTTCATCTAACAGAAAACTTTATTTCAGGCTCTGCTTTCTAACATCTTATTACTTACATCTTCCCAAAATATGGGGTTAGGTTCATAGCCACCGACTTGCAAGGCATCGCCCTGCAGTTTGAGGTAGACTGAGGCATCATGGTCTCGTACATTGGGCATGTTCTGAATCCCCTCGATCCTCTCCGTCACCACGTACGCATGGCGCATAGCAACCAATGGGGTCTTTACACCTGCCATTTTACCGATCTTGGGTGCCCAGACACCTAGATATTAATGATATATAGGTTTTACTTAATTTAGCTTAAATTTAAAGGAGCAGTAAAGCTTTTTTGTATAGATAATTTAAGCAGAGTTGATCCTGCAGAAACCGTACATTTATTAGTATACTCGTCACATTTCAAGGTCTTTGACATAAAGTGTGGGATTCTAATAAGCTTTATATGCATGATGAGAGAGAGCAAGTGAGAGAGCGCAAGCATGTGTATGTGTGCATGTGTTTATTGACTTTTATCCTCTCATAAATATATGTGATATACCTGTACAATTGACCACACAGTTAGTTTTGATGGTCCCACTGGACGTCTGGACAGCCTGGACCCTCCTGGTGCCAAAGTCATCAGTCTGGACATCTATACCGGTCACTGCACACTTGGTCAGCACCTGACAGCAAGAAAATGTGAACCAAGCATAGTGCAGAAATAATAGCCACAGAATTTGAATAAAATAAGGCATTAATTGGCAATAATATTAGCACAGAACAGTGTTTGTAACTTCAGAGAATAAGCTGTGCAGAGACACAGTGCAAAACCAATGTACGTACATGGTAAAATTTTGTCGTCGCTGTTTATAGGCAAGGCAAGAAAAGCAATCTCCTCAACCTTGAAATGATACATGGTAAAGTATAGAGCTGTCAGCCATATAACACTGCTGAATACTGCAACACTCTACAATATTGGCCCCATTCAGAATAGGGGACTAACTAGTCCGAGGGTCAAATATGGCAGCCCACTACAAAGCTTGCCGTCTAATCTGCTAATAGAAAGTGAATAGATATCCCGTGGGGAAGTATTCAAGTGGGTCGGCCATATTTGATCCTTGGACTAGTTAGTCCACTATTCTGAATGGGGCCATTCTCACCTTTCCTCCCAGTCGTGTAGCAGCACGTGTGAGCGCCGTGCAGTAGCCCGCGGGATCTATGGTTCCATCTCCTGGACTGTACACTGTGCCGTAGACGTCATCCACGTTAAGCAGAGGGTACAGCTTCTTGGTCTCAGAGGGACCCAACACGTGAGACTCAATACCAAATACCTTACCCAGCTGGAAATAGCAGTAAACTGAGTCAATATCTGGTACTTGCTGCGACTTAAATACTGCTTTTAAAATTTCGGCACCCAAACATGTGCAGACATATCAAAGACCTTTAAAAATACCTGGTTCACTATACCAAATACTTTGCCAAGCTGGAAAAAGCAGTAAACTGAGTCAATATCTGGTACTTGCCGCGACTTAAATACTGCTTTTAAAATTCCATCACCCACACATGTGCAGGTGTATTGAAGACCGTAAAAAACAACTTTTAGGCTGGTATTGTTGAAAATTTTCAAAACCGAAGGACTTTTTGACTACTGACTGTTAGACCCCATTCCCACAGATTTTAGATCGATCTATCCCTGTGGGGAGTTTCACTAGATTACTGTTAGCTTAGCCAGGTTAAGCATCTGTCCCGCCTACTAAAAGCTGTAAGGGGGTAATTAACTACCGTGCGCGCTCGGCTGATATCAATTTAGAGTGAACCCCCAGGGAGTTAAGTCGACCTAGATGGATAGATCTAAATCTATGGGAATGCACTTTTAAATTAAAATGGCTGTTCCTAAAATTGTTGCCAGTGCCCTGGGCCAACTGTAAACTTTTGGGGTTCTTAAAATTTTATCTGTTATGGCCAGTAGGACCCATTGTCTCAGCACAAAATCTAAACAATAAATATTATCATCAGTGGGCTAAAGTTCTCACTGTGTGCAGCCTCTTGTACTCATCCAATCTCTCTTTTCTGGAGGCGATGAAAAGCCCCCCGTTGTTAATCCAGCCAGGGTTGACCCCCGTCTCCTCTTCTAACTCCTGCATTAGGTCACGACTACGGTTCAGGAGCTGGATGTCAACATCATTGGGTCGAAGACGCCACACTAAACCTGACAGGACATAAATTATATCTATTCTGATTTCTGTTCTGGTATTTTAAGCTACACATCACCAACAGCAACATCTGAGATTAATATTCAATGAAGTAACTTTCAAAATTCCAAAGTGAAAAGTTGGTTTACAGTAAGAGATTAACTATATTCACCGTGTGTGTGTGTAGGAGTAAAGAGTACAAACGAACAGAAAGGGGATTTATTTACTTATCAGATTTCTGTGACTGCTAATTTTTCAATGGGTTGATTTAAAATAAAATTATAACACAGGGTTATCAGATATGAGCCTAGGTTTCAAAAAAAAAAAAAAANCTGTTATCTAACATTTAATAAGACCTTAATTTCTTAGCTCAACTTTGTGACCAAAAATAAATCAAGGTCCATGCGTTTGCTCACCTGATATCATAGCCGTACATGTCCAGTGTTGGTCGTCCCTGTATGATCCAGTCAGCTAGCTGCTTGGCACAGCCCGCACCTAAACAGGGAATGTATGGTCAGGTTTTTTTTTTCTTTTCATACATCTTTGTTATAACTTAATTCATACACCTATGTCAAGCAGATGACTAGCAAGGTAATAATAATTACTAGTTTCTACTTCCTACACACTATAATATTCAAAACATATAAGGTTAGATCCATGCATGCATGCACAACACAAAGTTTTTAATCAAATCAAACTGGTTCACTATGGATGTTGTATATGGCATCTTTAACAAGATTTGATGTTGTCGTCAAATTGAGCTTATCAAAAACTGTAAGGCAAAACAAAAGGTTATCACAGAGAAGTGCACATAGTTGTACACACATGCAAATGATAATAGCTGTGTATTGCAAATATCAAAAGTTCATTGATTTTCATCATTTTCAAACCATGCACATGGAGTTTTCATTCCACCAATCAAACAATCATATGTCAGCAATCACGTCACATGGACAATCAAAACAAGGTCAACAACACAGGACTGGCAAGACCAACAAGACAACTACTGTCAACAACATGACACTGAGACCAACATCAAGCCTGTCAACAGAAGACATATAGCAAAGATGGTTCTAGAAAATCTGGCATATTTCACTACACCACCTGGCCAGCTGGGAGAAGACATGATGAGAAGCATGCACTGGCTTTAGGGACCATTCCCAGACCCTATCGTACTACATATGGATCGATATATCTTCCAGAGGTTTTTTGTTAAATTGCAATCAACTTAAGCAGCTTAGATGTCTGTCACGCCTACTGAAGCTGCTATGGAGTAATTAATTATCATTTAGCAGCTTCAGTAGGTGTGCCAGACATCTACGCACTCAAGCTGAAAGCAATTTTAGTGAGAAAACCCTTAGAGATGGATCGATCCTGTTAGATCGATCTAGGTATGGGAACTCAGTCTTAGACTGCTAACTCACTCTTGTTCATCCCAAAACTGTTAAAACCACAGGCGTGGTAGAAACCTTGAACCTCCACCGCCTCCCCTAGCAATGGCTGGTGATCAGGAGTAAATGCCTCTGAAAGTGGTGATTGGTGAAAATTGATAACGAATTTCTGAGAATAAATTTCATCACTTACTCAAGTTCATTCCTAAGCTGTTAAACCCACAACCATGAAAAAATCCCCTCACTTCCGGCGCCTCTCCAAGGAGAGCCTTGTGATCAGGGGTGAATGACTCTGAAATATAAAACAATACAAAACACATGCATGCATTTACTTCTTATATTTTTGATCTAATTCTTTAAGTTAATGTATGCATAAATTATTCATATAATTCAATAATTTTCTCATTGAAGAAAAACATGATAGATCATAGATAATAATAATAGATAAATATGACAGACAATTTGCATGTTACATCACTTACACCTTTGTTGATAGGGAAATCCAAGTTCTACGTACAAACTAAAATACATTCAATTTCCTCCTCTCACTGAGGTGATAGGACTAAAAGAACAAATTAACTTATGGGCAGCCGCCCCTGTTTTTACCTGGCCCACAGACTGTGGACTTGATTCCGGTGTCTCCTATCTTGGGAACTCTGTTCACTGCGCCCTCTATATGTACACTGAACACATCCCAGTCCAGGTCAAACAGACTGAATGCAAAGTCATCCTTAACCTGAATAATAGAAATGATATCTTTAAGATTGTATATTTTATAACATTCATTGTACACATTATACAAACATTATTATTACGTAGGCCAAACATCAAATGGATGTTTTGTTTGTTGTTTTATTTTCTAACAAAATTAAGCAAAAATTTTAAAGAATCACTCCTGCAGGCTGACTAAACAAATTTACTTTTTCCCCTTAAACCTCAAATCCAATTACTCACATTCACCCTCATTTCATTACTTTTTTAATCTCAAGTTCTCTAAATTGGCAAATATGTTTCATCTAACAGAAAACTTTATTTCAGGCTCTGCTTTCTAACATCTTATTACTTACATCTTCCCAAAATATGGGGTTAGGTTCATAGCCACCAACTTGCAAGGCATCGCCCTGCAGTTTGAGGTAGACTGAGGCATCATGGTCTCGTACATTGGGCATGTTCTGTATCCCCTCGATCCTCTCCGTCACCACGTACGCATGGCGCATAGCAACCAATGGGGTCTTTACACCTGCCATTTTACCAATCTTGGGTGCCCAGACACCTAGATATTAATGACATAGAGATTTTACTTAATTTAGCTTAAATTTAAAGGAGCAATAAAGCTTTTTTGTATAGATGCTTTAAGCAGAGTTGATCCTGCAGAAACCGTACATTTATTAGTATACTCGTCACATTTCAAGGTCTTTAAGCATAAAGTGTGGGATTCTAATAAGCTTTATATGCATGATGAGAGAGAGCGAGAGAGCGCAAGCATGTGTATGTGTGCATGTGTTTATTGACTTTTATCCTCTCATAAATATATGTGATATACCTGTACAATTGACCACACAGTTAGTTTTGATGGTCCCACTGGACGTCTGGACAGCCTGGACCCTCCTGGTGCCAAAGTCATCAGTCTGGACATCTATACCGGTCACTGCACACTTGGTCAGCACCTGACAGCAAGAAAATGTGAACCAAGCATAGTGCAGAAATAATAGCCACAGAATTTGAATAAAATAAGGCATTAATTGGCAATAATATTAGCACAGAACAGTGTTTGTAACTTCAGAGAATACGCTGTGCATAGACACAGTGCAAAACCAATGTACGTACATGGTAAAATTTTGTCCTCGCTGGTTATAGGCAAGGCAAGAAAAGCAATCTTCTCAACCTTGAAATGATCCATGGTAAAGTATAGAGCTGTCAGCCCTGTAACACTGCTGAATACTGCAACACTCTACAATATTGGCCCCATTCAGGATAGGGGACTAACTGGTCTGAGGGTCAAATATGGCAACCCACTACAAAGTTTCCTGTCTAATCCATTAATAGACACTGAATAGATATCCTGTTGGGAAGAATTCAAGTGGGTCTGCCATATTTGATCCTTGGACTAGTTAGTCCACTATTCTGAATGGGGCCATTCTCACCTTCCCTCCCAGTCGTGTAGCAGCACGTGTGAGCGCCGTGCAGTAGCCCGCGGGATCTATGGTTCCATCTCCTGGACTGTACACTGTGCCGTAGACGTCGTCCACATTGAGCAGAGGGTACAGCTTCTTGGTCTCAGAGGGGCCCAATACGTGAGACTCAATACCAAATACCTTACCCAGCTGGAAATAGCAGTAAACTGCGTCAATATCTGGTACTTGCCGCGACTTAAATACTGCTTTTAAAATTCCATCACCCACACATGTGCAGGTGTATTGAAGACCGTAAAAAACAACTTTTAGGCTGGTATTGTTGAAAATTTTCAAAACCGAAGGACTTTTTGACTACTGACTGTTAGACCCCATGCCCACAGATTTTAGATCGATCTATCCCTGTGGGGAGATTACTGTTAGCTTAGCCAGGTTAAGCATCTGTCCCGCCTACTAAAAGCTGTAAGGGGGTAATTAACTACCGTGTGCGCTCGGCTGATATCAATTTAGAGTGAACCCCCAGGGAGTTAAGTCGACCTAGATGGATAGATCTAAATCTATGGGAATGCACTTTTAAATTAAAATGGCTGTTCCTAAAATTGTTGCCAGTGCCCTGGGCAAACTGTAAACTTTTGGGGTTCTTAAAATTTTATCTGTTATGGCCAGTTGGACCCATTGTCTCAGCACAAAATCTAAACAATAAATATTATCATCAGTGGGCTAAAGTTCTCACTGTGTGTAGTCTCTTGTACTCATCCAATCTCTCCTTTCTGGAGGCGATGAAAAGCCCCCCATTGTTAATCCAGCCAGGGTTGACCCCCGTCTCCTCTTCTAACTCCTGCATCAGGTCACGACTACGGTTCAGGAGCTGGATGTCAACATCATTGGGTCGTAGACGCCACACTAAACCTGACAGGACATAAATTATACCTATTCTGATTTCTGTTCTGGTATTTTAAGCTAAACATCACCAACAGCAACATCTGAGATTAATATTCAATGAAGTAACTTTCAAAATTCCAAAGTGAAAAGTTGGTTTACAGTAAGAGATGAACTATATTCACCGTGTGTGTGTAGGAGTAAAGGGTACAAGTGAACAAAAAGGGGATTTATTTACTTATCAGATTTCTGTGACTGCTAATTTTTCAATGGGTTGATTTAAAATAAAATTATAACACAGGGTTATCAGGTATGAGCTTAGGTTTCAAAAAAAAAAAGAAAAACTCTGAACATTTATCATGGACACCTAACCTGCCAGCGGGCCAAGTGCCGCCTTAGAAGTGTATTAAAAACGTGGAATTCTGTGTTTCCGCAGAAATAACTCATGTCTGGTTATTGATATAATTCTAATATTTCACTGGATCACTTGTAAGCTTACCAGCAGTGTGCCAAGTTGTTCCAGCTGTTAGATCATCTTTCTCCAGTAATACAACATTAGTTTGGCCCATCTTGGTCAGATAATACATGGTGGCGCACCCTATAACACCTCCCCCTACAATCACCACGTCTGCCGACGCCGGGACCTCTGTGGGCGCATCTTTTGTGTGATCTTTCAGCTGNAGAGCGCAAGCATGTGTATGTGTGCATGTGTTTATTGACTTTTATCCTCTCATAAATATATGTGATATACCTGTACAATTGACCACACAGTTAGTTTTGATGGTCCCACTGGACGTCTGGACAGCCTGGACCCTCCTGGTGCCAAAGTCATCAGTCTGGACATCTATACCGGTCACTGCACACTTGGTCAGCACCTGACAGCAAGAAAATGTGAACCAAGCATAGTGCAGAAATAATAGCCACAGAATTTGAATAAAATAAGGCATTAATTGGCAATAATATTAGCACAGAACAGTGTTTGTAACTTCAGAGAATACGCTGTGCATAGACACAGTGCAAAACCAATGTACGTACATGGTAAAATTTTGTCCTCGCTGGTTATAGGCAAGGCAAGAAAAGCAATCTTCTCAACCTTGAAATGATCCATGGTAAAGTATAGAGCTGTCAGCCCTGTAACACTGCTGAATACTGCAACACTCTACAATATTGGCCCCATTCAGGATAGGGGACTAACTGGTCTGAGGGTCAAATATGGCAACCCACTACAAAGTTTCCTGTCTAATCCATTAATAGACACTGAATAGATATCCTGTTGGGAAGAATTCAAGTGGGTCTGCCATATTTGATCCTTGGACTAGTTAGTCCACTATTCTGAATGGGGCCATTCTCACCTTCCCTCCCAGTCGTGTAGCAGCACGTGTGAGCGCCGTGCAGTAGCCCGCGGGATCTATGGTTCCATCTCCTGGACTGTACACTGTGCCGTAGACGTCGTCCACATTGAGCAGAGGGTACAGCTTCTTGGTCTCAGAGGGGCCCAATACGTGAGACTCAATACCAAATACCTTACCCAGCTGGAAATAGCAGTAAACTGCGTCAATATCTGGTACTTGCCGCGACTTAAATACTGCTTTTAAAATTCCATCACCCACACATGTGCAGGTGTATTGAAGACCGTAAAAAACAACTTTTAGGCTGGTATTGTTGAAAATTTTCAAAACCGAAGGACTTTTTGACTACTGACTGTTAGACCCCATGCCCACAGATTTTAGATCGATCTATCCCTGTGGGGAGATTACTGTTAGCTTAGCCAGGTTAAGCATCTGTCCCGCCTACTAAAAGCTGTAAGGGGGTAATTAACTACCGTGTGCGCTCGGCTGATATCAATTTAGAGTGAACCCCCAGGGAGTTAAGTCGACCTAGATGGATAGATCTAAATCTATGGGAATGCACTTTTAAATTAAAATGGCTGTTCCTAAAATTGTTGCCAGTGCCCTGGGCAAACTGTAAACTTTTGGGGTTCTTAAAATTTTATCTGTTATGGCCAGTTGGACCCATTGTCTCAGCACAAAATCTAAACAATAAATATTATCATCAGTGGGCTAAAGTTCTCACTGTGTGTAGTCTCTTGTACTCATCCAATCTCTCCTTTCTGGAGGCGATGAAAAGCCCCCCATTGTTAATCCAGCCAGGGTTGACCCCCGTCTCCTCTTCTAACTCCTGCATCAGGTCACGACTACGGTTCAGGAGCTGGATGTCAACATCATTGGGTCGTAGACGCCACACTAAACCTGACAGGACATAAATTATACCTATTCTGATTTCTGTTCTGGTATTTTAAGCTAAACATCACCAACAGCAACATCTGAGATTAATATTCAATGAAGTAACTTTCAAAATTCCAAAGTGAAAAGTTGGTTTACAGTAAGAGATGAACTATATTCACCGTGTGTGTGTAGGAGTAAAGGGTACAAGTGAACAAAAAGGGGATTTATTTACTTATCAGATTTCTGTGACTGCTAATTTTTCAATGGGTTGATTTAAAATAAAATTATAACACAGGGTTATCAGGTATGAGCTTAGGTTTCAAAAAAAAAAAAAAAAACTCTGAACATTTATCATGGACACCTAACCTGCCAGCGGGCCAAGTGCCGCCTTAGAAGTGTATTAAAAACGTGGAATTCTGTGTTTCCGCAGAAATAACTCATGTCTGGTTATTGATATAATTCTAATATTTCACTGGATCACTTGTAAGCTTACCAGCAGTGTGCCAAGTTGTTCCAGCTGTTAGATCATCTTTCTCCAGTAATACAACATTAGTTTGGCCCATCTTGGTCAGATAATACATGGTGGCGCACCCTATAACACCTCCCCCTACAATCACCACGTCTGCCGACGCCGGGACCTCTGTGGGCGCATCTTTTGTGTGATCTTTCAGCTGATGTCTAATGAAACAAGAGTAAACAAAATTATGGTATACAAAGTGGGGTACACACACGTTTTACAGTAATATATAAATACTACATTATTGTCAATACTGTTGAGAAGAACAAGTGGGCACATTTAAAGTGTTTTTGAGCTTCTGGAAGATGATCAGTTATTTACGATATGTGCATCTTGTTTAATCTAACCTTCGTACATACTGAGATTAATTTTTAAATTTAAAATGCGCCCCCCCCCCCCATGAACAGCTTTTGAATGCTGCATCAAGCATGCCAAAAAAGTAGATCCAAAGTGACAAATTTTAATTCAAATATAGAAATAATGACACCAGCATATTCTGGCTACAAAGCATGAAATATTTATACTTCTGCTAGCTGGCAATATTATATCTTCCCGTTGAATGACACTGGTTGGCAAGTGAATTTTTTAATACCCAGAATTGTTGTAATTGAAAACCAGACTAAAAGCAGAAATTTATATATATTTTAATAAAAAGTTGATTTACTCGTAAGGCACTCCACTTTGCACGCTCTGACTACAGGATCTGCTGAGCACGGCGGTCCAGCTTGTCCTGCTCGTGTTCTGCCCACACAGCAGTATTCTCCCCGCACGCAACATTATGTTTGGTCTGGAGGTGGATATCTACTTACTGCTACTGCTGGAATATGGAAGTATATACATGTATAGCATGTCAATCTACAGATGTATGAGAACTTTAACAGTATTCAACATGATGATTGTAACAAATAGGAAATGTGTTTAATTTCAAACTTATACTTAAGGATTTAAACAATATTATGTCTGATCTGGAGATGGATTTCTATATACTGCTACAGCTACAGTAGAACATGGAAATATGGCATATCAACCTACGAGAGCTGAATTCAGCTATTTTGACAAATAGGAAATAAGTGTAGCTTTTAAATTTATACATAGATATTCTATATATTATCATGCAACTCCAAGGACAAGACACTCATACTTGAAATAAACTGGATTGGGCCAGAATGTTTAACTGAATCTTGCTTTTTTCCATCCCTAATAAAGATCATTAAATTGTTGTGAAAGACAACAATAAATTTTCCAAATGCTAAATTATAACATATAAAATTCACTGGGTCAAAATCCAAGTATAAGCTAAAACACATACATAAAAATATCCTAATTTTACTGTGACATATGACCTTCCTGTATAATGTTGTCTTAACCCCAGTCAAATGTAAACATTTTATCTGTGGAACTGAAATGCACTTTGTTTCATCATCAACTATATATAATTTATGTGCAATATTTCATACTTGTTAAACTGTTAATACAAAAGAAACACAAGCCTTGAAATATCTATACACAAATTAAAAAGAATGTGGACTTATTTCACATCACTGCGTGTCCGCAAAGAGCAGTGAGTGCATTACATAACCAGAAGGTCCACTTCAAAACACCGCTACACTGTACATTGTACAATACACAGCTTGTGCTTCATGCAGTCTTGCCATTCGACGAGTCGCTTAAAGTTAGAATATTCATAAGAAACTTAATCATAATATTTTTCAGATATCAAAAGCAGTCTCACCATAGAGTCAAGCAAATTATCCAAACTTGGTTAGAGCAGTTTACCAGCTGCAAGGCCTCGAGTTCTAATCACCCAGTTTTAGCTTAGATCTACAGGTCAGGAATAGGTCGCATGCCCTGTGTTGTTGTTTGTACGGGCTGGATATAACTGGTTACATCTGGTTGACAACTGCTCGCAAACGAACAGTACAGACAGGTTTATTAAAGAAATCGACGACAGAATAGAAGCATTTTCTACGGCTTGTTGAACAACCATGACAACGAAACCGTTTTTGAGTAAAACTGTTATGTTGATACACAAATCTAATTTTACCGCAAGTATACCTCTCCTTTGTTTGAAGGTAATAAAATTTACTTTGACGCATGCGCAAAATGAAAGCGGATATTTTAATTTTCTGACAGCCAAACTTCCAAAACTTTACAATTAAATCGATTTATTGTTGAAATGAGAGATTCAAAACATTTACCAACAAACCGAATCTGACATGGTTCGCCCAACTCAGTCGGGTAGCAGTCGTAGAAAAGCTGGTCCTAGCTCGAGGAGGACTCCACCAAGTTCACCTCGCCGTCGCGGAGAAGCCGCACCGTCAACTTCAAGTCCAAGACGAAGATCTCAGGAGAGAGCCCCTGCCGGGAGTGGCAGGCGTGTTCAGGAGCCAGGTATGTGTCACAGTGTAGAGTAGTTATCTGCAGGGGTTGGCATCTAAATCAATGTCATCTCAGGCGTTCAACGTTTGTCTACCGAATGATAAGGATCGTGTGATCCGAGCTGTGCTCCTCCGCCCCTTTCACGTTTTTTTTCTTAAGGTCCACTTTCATCTATGGAATGCAGGCTTAGCTTAACCATTTCAAATATTGCTATGTTCATGTATTTGCATTAAATTTTTAAAAATGTTTGTAAATAGAAAAATGGAGTTCCCAGGGGCGGATCCAGAGATATTTTCTGTCAGTCTTCCGAAATCATTTTTGTTGATCCATCTTCCATTTATGACTTTCTTCTAATAGAAAAAAGTTAGGTGCTTGTCAATGTTAGCTTTAAAAATTCAGACCATTTTCTGTAAGACTTAGAAGACGGCTTCCGTTCGCCCCCGAGTTCCTATATCTGTAATGTATACTGGTACTGGTTAATGTAGTAATAATAAATTACTGTTTCAAACAAAAGCTATAGCGCAGAAGTTAAAATTAGAATAATGTAGAATGATTAACATTAAAGAAAAAATTCTTTATTATCTTATTTTTTTATCTTTATGGGAGAGGGGATTATTTGATACTTCTAAGTTCTAGTATTTATTGGGGTTATTTGACGTTTCAGTACCTCAACGTAGAAGATACCGCCCTGGTACCAGGGCATTGATGGAGATCAGAAAATATCAAAAATCTACAGATCTGTTGATAAGAAAACTGCCATTTTCTCGAGTGGTAAGAGTTGGTGAAAGGCCATCACAGTTCCTGGAGTGGGAATTGCTTTACTAGTAATTTATTTGACATGGAGGGACATATTGGTGTGTTATTAAATGCCTCAGAAAAATACTTTATTTATTTAAAAAATTGTTTATTATTTTGTAAATAATCTCCTTAATTTTGTAGTCTAGATTTTTTAATATGTATCCTGGCATTTATCTAGGATGTGTAGGAGTCTTCTTAATTTTCTAGGTCAGGGAAATTGCATTAGAAATGTACTCAGAAGATTTGCTAAGATGGCAGTCAATGGCTATCATGGCTCTTCAAGAGGTAAGCTGTGTTAAAGCTAAAAGGATTTTTACCACATGCTTACATCACTGAACATTTTTCAAACTTTAAATGGGAAATTTTTTTTTTTTTTTTTTTTTTTTTTTTTTTTTTTTTTTTTTTTTTTTTTTTTGTTTTTTT